AGGTCTGTGTGAGGCAGAGCTTTTTCTCCCCGCACCCCCCATACCCCCTTCAGCTCATGTGTCTGGGTCCACCAGCTACCCCCGTAAGCAGCAGATCCATCGGCCATCTGGTTTGGCGACATTAAGAGGCGTGCTGGGATGACGAGAGCTTCCTGGAGTGAGGAGGAAGGGTGGGAGAACCAGTTTGTCTTCAGCGAGTGTGTTCCGTGTTGTGCCAAGTGTGTCCGCGGGGTGTGGGGGGGGGGAATCAAATGATGAGGTGATACTGCGACCTGCTCAGGTGTCATGACAGATGTTACTTGGTATTTGTCTGACAAATTTATGTTAGAAAAAAGGGATTTGATTTCATTTGGCCTGTCTTTGACCACTAGGGGGTGCTGTTGTAACATGTCAAGTAGACAATGACTTGTGCCGCACATGGTTGTGTGGGACTTGTAGTTCTATGGTTCCCTCTTATCTGGTGTCTTATCTTGCTCTGCGGGTTCCTCTCACTCTCCTTCCTCGCCCTCTTCCCCACAGACTCCCCCGTTCGACGGCCTCCCATGCCTGTTAGCGCAGGTTCTGGCCCGCTGCAGAGAAATGAATCGATGAATTCCCTCCGCATCTCCATGGGGGGTCTACCTGTGCTGTCTTCCATGACTAACGCCACCGACTCCCGCTTCCGTCTCAAGTGGAGGGCCATCATGGCGGTGTCCGTGGTGCTGACGTTAGCCTTCCTGCTGTACATGCACTGGACACAAGCCGGCACCGGCGCGTTGAAGCACTCCTTCCGTGGCGGCCGTGGCTGGAGGCTGAGCCGCGGCGGGGAGGCCGACATGCTGTACAACGACACGTACCCGCTGAGCCCGCCGGAGCGGACGGCGCAGGGCACGCGATACCGAATCGCGGTCATCGCCGACCTGGACACGGAATCTCGCAGCCAGAAGCCCCTGACCTGGTTCAGCTACATGCGGCAGGGCCACCTACTGGTTTCTGACAGCGGCGACCACTTGGACGTGCAGTGGGAGCCAGATCATGTGGTGTTGGAGAGCCATCTGGCCGAGAAGGGCCGGGGCATGGAGCTGTCGGAGCTGGTGGTCTTCAACGGGAAGCTGTACAGCGTGGACGACCGCACGGGCGTGGTCTATCGCATTGAGGGTGACCGGGTGATACCGTGGGTCATCCTGCCCGATGGCGACGGCTCCGTCTCCAAGGGTCAGCCAGCCTTTCATTTCTCTGTTTTTAATGGTCCTTGCGAAACCTTCCACATGGATGCAGAAGTGAAAGTGTAGATGATGCAGTGGAGATTAATTCTGAGTGTGCACGCATTTTCAGAAGTACACGGAGCAGATGGTGCTCTGTGTATCCCCGAGAATGGTGACTCGAACCCGGGCCCCAGCCATGTGCTCTGTTTGCACGGCACAAAAACACGCACTTTGTGTAAATTTATAGACGCTGCTTGCCTTTGCCGATTGACAGTTAGGCTTCAATGTTTTACTCAAAATAACCTCAAATCGTATCGGTTAGCCATTCATCTGTGTGTATTTTTGGAATAATTCAGTGCTTTGGTCAAGGTTCTAACAGTCGAAGGAGTTCTATAATTTAAACAATGGCAGCATTTGTATTATTGCCTGTTACTGTTGTGCCACCTGCTGGCTGAAATGTGTATGCGCTGAGTGTTTCTTATGATGCATTAATTGTTCCCCCATGTAAATCCATCTCAGGGTTCAAGGCGGAGTGGATGGCCGTGAAGGACGAGCACCTCTGCGTGGGCGGCCTGGGGAAGGAGTGGACCACAACCAAGGGGGAGGTGGTCAACGACCACCCCGAGTGGGTGAAGGTGGTGGGCTTCCAGGGCGATGTCGAGCACCAGAACTGGGTCCCACAGTATAACGCGCTGCGGAGCGCGGCGGGGATCGAGCCACCAGGTGAGTCGGGGGAGGGGTGGGATGGAGAGTGCTGATTTTCTTCTCTTCTGGTGACATCATACTGAAACGTGCTCTAACTAAAAAGGTTTTCCCCCCCCGCAGGCTACCTAATCCACGAGTCAGCAGCGTGGAGCGACACGCTGAAGCGCTGGTTCTTCCTGCCGCGCCGCGTCAGCTCCGAGCGCTATGACGAAGCGGCGGACGAGCGTCGCGGCGCCAACCTGGTGCTCAGCAGCTCGCCCAACTTCCGCGACATCACCTCCAGCCGCGTGGGCCCCCTGCTGCCCACTCACGGCTTCTCCTCCTTCAAGTTCGTGCCCGGCACCGACGACCAGATCATCCTGGCTCTCAAGTCGGAGGAGGATGCTGGCAAGATCGCCACATACATCACGGCCTTCACACTGGATGGCCGCATCCTACTGCCCGAGACCAAGATTGGCACTGTCAAGTATGAAGGCCTGGAGTTTGTGTAGGTCGGAACTGGGAACGTTTTCCAGATGCAAGCGGTTGGGAAGAATGCAACAGTCCTGGTGACATCACCTCACTTCTCCTTCCCTTGTGTCATAAACTAACACCACCAGTAGGGGGCACTGTCGTGCTCATTTCCGTTTACTGTTTTATTGTACACTTCAAAGACTCCACTAGTGAATGTAAGAAAACAGAAAAGTTATCTATCTGATCTTCAGAAGAAGGAGAAAACCGGGCTACACCTTTATAGGCCTGAATACAACACCTACTCATTACAGTGACCATTACAGTGACCAGCAGGACACTGATTGAATATAGATGTGAAGTACTGTAAAGACTCAGAGCATAATAATTAATATTCCAGTGTTTTCATTTGGTTTCTTCGTAGTATTTGATGTTGGGCTTTATTTTCTCTTTTTTTAAAAAGGCTATTTTAAGCAAATTTTTTAATCGTATGATTTAATGAATGTTGTTTTCCGGAGATCATGAATTAGTCTTAAAGCTCGGCGCGTTAATGTGTCAGTTACTGAAATATGGGAGTATATGTTGTATGTACGGCAGTTTTGGGTGTTTTTGAGTAATTGCAAATTGAGAAACGGGTGTATACGTGATTCACCAATGAAATTATTCTTAAATGATGTCCTCTGTAATTATTATTCGTATAAAAGTGTCGTTTGGGCTTCGGACAGAGCAGTAGCGAAGCTTTCGGAACATAACCCTAATATCCTGCACATGTATGCAGTGAGGCTGGCCCGTTCGCCCAGTCTGCACTTTAACACGTTTAAATATTTGTGCGTCTATCATACACTTCGTTAATGAGCAGATACGTTTAATTCCAACAATTACAGTTGTGAAAGCAGGGTCAGACTTCCTGGATATAATTGGGATTGCGGGCCCCTGTTCAATGGTGAGCAGGGGCCCGCAATCCTATAATGTCTATTAAAAAAAAAACTGTCTACGGCAGCGGTTTATTGGGGTCCGTAGTTGCCACGGCATGGGGTGTCAGCGTGGTCCTAATAACGGCAAGGTCATGGGTTCCATCTGCATATCAGCCATGCAATATTGCTCATTTCCCCCTGGGATCGATGTAGAGTGTTTTATCTTATTCAATGTATTATACCTATATGTATATATATTACATTATGTCTATAATACATTGAATCTTAATCGGGTTTATAAACCAGATTGCTCTGAAACATCCGGATGTATTTGCGGCTCGAACCCACAAAGTTGACTAAGCAAGACCCATCTCGTTTTGCAGAGAAATGAAACTTAATCCACCAGGACCAAAGGTTGAGGAAGTGAGCACCAGCCAGTTGGTGGGGCGTCTATAAAGAGACTGTCTCTATGTTTGTCACTAGATAGGTAGGGAACTCGCGGGACCGAATCGAAGCGTGATCTCTGCTAACGAGGGTAATTAAAAAAAAATTATAAAAATCTTTCAAAAACTGCTTAACATACTTGGAAATATTCGCTTTAAAACTAGTTTTTTGTCAGAGACAAACTGTACATTTTACTGTATAAAGTATAAGATTGACTTTTAACCTTGTTCAATATGCATAGTGTGGATGGATAATAAATATTATACAATATCCATCTTCTGACCGCCTATCCTAGTCTTGTGGGTCCTTGAAGACCTTTCTAGGCAGCGGGAGGTTTACAAACTGGATGTGATTGTAATGAAGGTTTTCGTTTACATATTGATAGTACAGCCACATGTTTAATAAGTCAGGATATATTTAAAGTATGAATTTTAAAATAATACTAACAGGTGACCATTAAAAGTATATGATTAATAAACTAGATAAGGGCCATCATTATTAATGATATTGTGTTGTATGTTCATTGAATTTGTGTTCTCTCGTTTTGAAAGAACTATTCAGTGGCCTTGTTCGTCTTTAATGTCCAGGTAGTTGCAGGATGATAAGTCCTCAGTAGACAGTCCTGTATGTGTTTAGATTTCAGCATGATTCCAGTAGCTGGGACTGAATTTAAAAAGGGGGATTGTAACGTAAGCTATTAAACCTAGTTCATAATTCACTTTTCTGCGCAGCCGTACGCAGTGGTCTTTCACGGTCATACAATAATCGTTATGGTAATCTATAGAACAGTGGTACCTCGGTTCTCGAACTCATTAGAACTCGAATTTCTTAAAAGTAGAACCAACCAGTTCGGGAAAAAAAATACCTAGAACTCGATCTGAATCTCAAAAGTTGAACTGTGAACACCGACCTAAGATAACTTGTACGTGCGGGGAAATGAGTCACGCCGCACGTCTCTCAGCGGAAACAAAGGGTAACGCTTTGGTCTCAGCCTCACATTGGCTTTGATAGCATCATGCATGTTTACTCCAGCTGAATACATATATTTAGACAGTAAAAATACATTTAGACAATGATAGAGTAACAGTAATTATTATATAAAATACATTTAAAAATAAAGATTTCTTAATTATTGTAATATTGTTGATAAACCATTAATACATTTAATTTATAATAATATTGTCGTGCCAAGCGGGACGGAACGGAGACAAAGGCGCAGACGTCAGGGTATCGGAGAATACAGGGTTTAATTACAGGTGAGTCAGGCAAAACGCAGACAGACAATACTGTAACCGGACTTGCAAACCCTACAGACTATATTTAAAAGGTAATAAAACTGTTACATACATGTAAAATGTATGTGCAGACTTCTCTTAAATAAGGAGTCTCATGCCAGCCAGCATGTTTGCAACCCTGTGGTCGCGGTTGACACCTGCGTACAGAAATGTTACCGCCGGACCAGGGGGATGTCGCCGCAGAATCGGAGTCAAAGTTGCCTATGCACTGCCGATCTGAGTCAACCATGTTGAATTATTAAAGTATTAAATTATTCAAGCAATAAAGGACTTTGGACCATCTGCCAAACCTGCACCCTTACCAGTTATAGAAAGTGAAGGTCCGTCTCACGTATTTCCATAAATTTCATAAAGTAGCTGATTAACTTTAGTTGCATTTACATAGGCAAAGCCTCTAACAAGAAATGGAGATTAACTGGTTTTTATTTGTATATGGCTTGCTTTTGGGTAGTTTTCAGTTTTAGTTGTTATATTTTTTTTTACTTATTTTAGTTTCTTTTTAGTTGCTTTTGTGTTTGGCATCAACTTTGGCACATGTGTGACTCTCATACACGGTTGGCTTCTCCTGTAGTGAGGGGGTGGTTACACAAAGCAGGATTTCTCAGTTAGCTGGGATAACTTAAGCTAGAAGTCGTTATTGTCCGGTACGAGTTGTCATTGTAGGGATGCACACATCCTCACAGTAACTGATGCAAGCGATGGTGGCATCTGTATATTTATGGATGTCAGAAAAAGTTTTAAGTTTTAAAAATGTCCCAGTCTTTTCGAGACTTTCAAGGCAGTTCTATACAGCCACACTTGTCCAGCATTTGACTGTAGTTTTTACAAGCTTTTTCAATTTTAGTCTCTGTTTGTATGCTGGAGATTTTATGTATCATGTTAAAAAAAATGTATACTGTCTACTTTCATTTCTGATGTGGGTCAGGTCCAGTAGAATATGTCAAATACTTTGAATTACTTTGGCAAAAGTATGTAATTCATTTACAGTGAGTTTCATAAAAAATATTTAGTATAATGTTAGCAGACAGCTTCAGTTTTTATATTCTGCAGAAATCGTTTGTTATTTTCCTCCAGAAGGAGCTTTAAAACATGGGGAAACATGTGATCTCTCCCGCTGTGTGGCTGGTTCTCCTGTGGCTCGGCGTCCCATGCTCGGGTGAGTACAGAGGCTTGGGTGGCCCCCAGCCGCCTGGACAGACGCATCGGCACTTACGGCTGCTTGGGCATTGCTTGGATCTTACAGCATATTTTCAATGCCCTGCATGAAACAGTTTGTGCCTTTCAGAAAGGAGATTGGAAAAGTAGAACAACCGGAAATGAAAGGAGAAAAGAGCAGAACGTATGACGTACACCGTGACCTGTCAACCTTTGGTTTCTGATTCTTTAAGAATGGGCACCAGTATGTCTTTGCCTGGCTGGCTTGGTCAGTCGAGCATCTTAATCGCAGTGTTGTGGGTTCGAGCCCTACAAGGGGTGATGACTTCAAAGAACTTTCCTCTTATTTTCTTGATTTAAAAACTCAAAGGTGATAAACTCAGGACTTAAATTCTTATTGTCAACACAGCCATGTACAAGTACACAGTGTGGTGAAATACCATTTCTCTTGGGCCCCCTGTAGTGTTACACATAAACACAGATACAATAAATAAATGCACAACATCCATAACACAATGCAATATAAATAATGCACAAAATGATATGTAATTTTGTGCATGTCTGCAGTGTAGCACAAAGAGCTCCACAAGAAGGATAGGGGCTCAGGGCCGGGTCTGGCAGTCCAGGGTTCGAGGCTCTGGACTGTCCGGATCACCTGCCCGGCAGCCTCACTGCCGATCTCCATATGCACAGGGGTCCAAGAGGGAGATTTGAGGCTGGTGGGTGGCCAGCTGCCGTCCGAGGGCAGGGTGGAGGTATACCACCACGGGAGCTGGGGGACCGTGTGCGATGACAGCTGGGACGTGGCCGAGGCGCAGGTGGTGTGCCGGCAGCTCCGCTACCCCGGAGCCCTCTCCGCCGTCCAAGGAGGAAAGTACGGTCAAGGTAGGTCATGTGACTCAACAGGGAGTACCAGAATCTGCCAGCAGAGGGCGAGTTCTGCTGCGCAGGCCTTTTCTGTGTGGAACAACAGAGCATGAGTGACCATGATTTAGATCACATTTTATGAATATTTAATTCAATATTTTGCACCTACTAAAAAAAGATTAATGCAACAGTTTTGTTGTGTTGCTGGACTGTCTTACAGATTTCCAATCTTTATATAGTTGCTTATTTCATATGTGTCTCAAAATTGCCCATATTGTGAGTGTTTCTGTTTGTGCGTGTGGCCTGTGATGGACTGGCATCTTGTCCAGGGTGTCCCCCTGCCTCGTGCCCTGTGATGGACTGGCATCTTGTCCAGGGTGTCCCCCTGCCTTGTGCCCTGTGATGGACTGGCATCCCGTCCAGGGTGTCCCCCTGCCTCGTGCCCTGTGATGGACTGGCATCCCGTCCAGGGTGTCCCCCTGCCTTTCACCCTGTGTTTCTGGAATAGGCTCCAGACCCTGTGCCTGTGTTTTATGTCCCTCTGCATTTTGGGATCACCTTCCTCCCTGTGCACTGTGTTCCAGGGTCTGGCCCCATCTGGCTGGATGACTTGGGCTGTCTGGGCACAGAGAGTCGGCTGTCTGGCTGCAGTTTCAAAGGCTGGGGAGTCAGCGACTGCTCCCACAGTGAAGATGCGGGTGTGGTGTGTGAGAGAAGTAAGCACCTCCACCAGCAATTCGCTCACAAGTCCGTTCGCTGAAGGTTCCCTCTGTGAGAACGAAGCAAAATTGTGCTCTGGAATCTTCCACAGACTTGCTACAGGAAAACAAGCAGGTGTACACCCTGGATGATACCTCCAGCCTGAGCGAAGATCTGGAGAGGCTCTTCAACAACGGACGTGGCTGCGACTTCAACGTCACCGTGCAGAGCCCTGATGGAGGAGAGAGCTTCTGCCTGCATAGGCTGGTGCTTTCCATGAGCCACGAATCCTCCACCATCACGTTTCTCCAGGACCTGGACACCATCAACATTAATGTCACGCAAGCCTGCCAACCCCACGTCTCCAAGTTCCTAAGGTCAGGTGATCTACAACCTCAAGAAAAATACCTAACTTGTGATAAATTCCTTTTAAGTGGTTCTGTTGGATGGATAAGCTGAAATATTGTGGTTCTTTTCAATGAGTTGTGTAGGGCTCTGTGGGTTTAGGCTCTGGGCCTGTGACTGACAGAATAGTCATGTTGTTGGACCCTTAGGCAAGGCCTTCAACCCCAGTTGCTGCAGGGGTGCTAGACTCTGCACGCTAACCCTAAAATTTGCTTTCATCCATCTGCAAGACGGAATGAACACCTGATAATCTCTTCTACTACCCACATGTGATACAACACAAAATAGTTCCAGTAGGTTTTTTGACCTTAGAAGGATGTTAATTCATATTTTTGTATTTATTCTCTCTCTGGTTCTAAAGATACCTGTATACACGCAAGATCGACATCACCATTTCGTCCGTCGAGTGCATCCACCAGCTGGCCACTGACTTCAGGATGAAGTCGCTTCAGGAGGGAGCTGGGAGGCTCTTCTCGTGGCTGCTGCCCGGAGACGCCACCTTCAAGTCCCAGGTCGCGTTGTACGAATACGCGGTGCGGGCCGGGGACGGGGTCCTGCAGGAGACATGCATGCAGTTCCTGGCTTGGAACTGTGAGGCGCTGATCGGCTCGCCCGCATGGAGCGACCTCTCTCAGAGCGCGATGTCCGTCTTGATGTCCCGCTCTGACGTGGTGGTGCCCGACGAGGCCTTCCTTCTGGAGGGCCTGGAGAGCTGGATCCTGGCCCGGCGTGGTGATGACGATGCAGAGTGGCCTGAGTCCTTACTAGGCCTTGTCCGCTTTCCCATGATCCCTGCTGAAAAGCTGTACGACCTTCAGTTCATCTCTGACCTCTACCCTCACCATAAGGAGCTGTACCGTGAAGGGATGCTGCGAGGCTTCCAGTTCAACACTGTGGCCTTCCACAAGCTTCAAGATCAAAGCAATATCAATAAAGCTGAATACACTCCCAGGATCTACACAGGCAGCCCATGGAGCCTTGTAGTCAACGTCAGCAATGTTCCAGACAGCTACCAATACAACTACCATCATGGGTATGGGTACAGTGGCTACAACAGCAGAGCCAGGTCATTTGAGACCCCGCTTCACAACAGCCTGTTGTTCCACTCTGAAAAGTGTGGCTGGTCCACCGACATTTTCCTAACCAACCAAGAATGCCTGAACCGCGGCCTTCGGTGTGAGTCTGTGCCCGCTGCATGGATGGGTCCAAGTAGATTGTTCCAGTACCAGAATATCACTCGCTTTAGCAACAAACTACTGCTGAATTGTGAAGGCGACTACATCTTCCAGATCCAGGATTTCAAGAACAACCTGGCTCTGGTACCGTCCAACAGCACCAAGGGCCAAAGCTACCCCTGCGAGTCAGAGCGCTACGAGTACCATTTTATAGTCCAGCCACAGTATGAACTATGAATGACGGCTCCATTTTAAGATTTCTTAATTAGAAATGACCACTTTACTATTGCCTTTTTCTAACCAGTAACTTAAATAGAGTGTGACAGCCAACCGGTAATGCTTGTTGGTCAACAACATTTGTAGGCTGGTGATTACTATTAATTATTATTAACCCATAATAACAAATCTGCTTTTGATTCTTCTCTTGTATCATTGTGTGAAGATTATTACGGCACTCTGTTTAAAAAAAATGTCTAGGATTAATGTCCAGCCACATTAATAAACCGCCTGAATTCGCAGTCTGCATTTTCAATTCCTCCTTTCAGTGCTCCGCTGACCTTTTTTAATTTTTATTGTAGTACTGTTTCTTTCCAGCATGTGGTGCCACAAAACCATTTAAAACTGTACCCTCTGTGACCTAAAACGCGGAATGATAATCCCAGCATAACACGAACGAAGGAAACGGAGCTTCCTACAGCAGACTGCATATCTGTTGATCTGCCTGAAAAGGAAGTGATGACCAGACCCTACAGGACGGTGATGCTTGGCTCGTTTTCAGTTTGCAAGTTCTAATCATAGGATTTATTGGGTGTCTTCAATTCTTTCTTATGATGACAAAGGAAGAGCATTTCTGATATTTAGCTAGCAGATATTATTCTTAACAGTCCATCCATATATACTGTGTCTCCTAAAAATGGTAATTCAACACAAACCCAATAGTTTGAATCTGCAACCATTTACTCTAAGGTTGTTCCCTTAACCTTCCTGTCGTGTTCTGGTCAAATCTGACCGATTTACAATTCAATCACTCATAAATATTATGTTTTACATCTGATTGGCTCAAGGCCTTATGATATCCTCCACACGATGCACTTGAACATATAAAAGTGACGATCACCTCTTTCATTGAATTTTGAGTGTTTTAATCAACTTTGTTACACCTGTGGTGTTCCCGGTCAAAGGTGACCGCCGTAGGAAATGAATGGGTATCCAGTCTATATTCATCCATCAGAAAGAAAACATCCCCATACACACCACCCCAACTCACTCACTCACACACACATTTCAGACTGAACAATGTCTTTTGAGGGTACACATCTCTTTCCCGCGCTTATGTGCCTATCCTCCACGTGAACCACACCTTCCAGACTAATCTATGTATCATCTTCACACATAAATATAGCTTGATGTTTGCCTTGCACTCCTTTTACTTTGGGCACAATGAGTAGGCGACTGACCAAGCGGATATCTGTCAAAGAGGTTTTGGTCCAGGATTTTGGACATGATGAAGAGGACATTGAAATTTAACCATAGATAGAGGAGGATGTCTCAGAAGTGGAAGACAAGACAGATTTTGATCCAGACTTTGAGGAGACTGACCAGTCAACAGATGGAGAGGGAGCGGCACCTGAAGAACAGGCACCTGAGGAGACATTCCAGTCCAAGAGTGGACACTTGCTCTGGTCTTCATCCCCCCAGGACAGAGGAAGTAGAGCAAGAGTGGAAAACATCATAAAGATGACGCCAGGGCCAACACGGTATGCGACATCTCGTGTGGATGACATCAAGTCCAGCTTCCAACTCTTTTTACCAGAGTCCATTGAGGGAATTATACTGGAGATAACAAACCTGGAGGGGAAGCATGTGTTTGGGGACACCTGGAGAGAAATTGACCTGACAAGTGAGTTGAACCACTACATAAAGCCTCCTTCATCATATCCCAGAGACCTTCAATGAGGTTAAGGTCACAAACCTGAGGTGACCAAGTCATGTGTGAAAATGATTCCTCATGCTCCCTGAACCGCTCTTTGACAATTCAAACCCAATGAATCTTGGCATTCTTGTCCTGGAATATGCCCATGCCAACAGGGAAAAAATACCCACTGATGATGGATGGAGGTGTAACCTGGCCATTCAGTAGATTCAGGTACTCAGCTGACTTCACTTTATTGCTGCATAATGTTGCTGAGCTGTAATAATGATCCAGCAGGCTCTAAAGTATTTGCTAATATAAATTTAAATGGCGACCTTTTTTTTGGACGGGCAGTGTATGTCCTTACAACAGTTTCATGTCCTTTCAAGAATTATTCGATTCGATTTATTTTTTACATCTACTACTGGGTGTTTCTCAATACCAAGAACACGAAGGATGTACTTGGGTTCTTTGAAAGAACGTTTTTGCTAACATACCTCCAAAGAACATATTTAGGGCGCAAAGAATCATGGGATTGGTCTTGTTAGTAAGGACGCAACCGATGTATCCTTGATATTTTGCAGTGGGCAAGAACGACTTCGGGCAATTTTTACTGTCCTCTGTATTTCTGTTCTTTAGTGTTGGAGATGTGCTTCAGCAATGGATGATGATGTGACATCGGTACATGAAAACACAAGAATGTTCAAGTATGTATATTTATAAACACCCATTGATCCAGGTCTCTACATTGCAGTAGCAGTGTTAATATATTCCAGTTCTGCTGACACTAGAAAATTTACTATTTTTTTCAAAGCATTTGCATCGTAACAAAAAATTGACATGGTGAATGCAAAAGGAATTTCAGATTTGCTGTATATTTCAGAGAAATATTAAATTAAGTATTGAATTTAGCATGTTTTATTGCATAATGATGCTGACACAATGCCTTCAACTGAGGTATTAATATTTTGTGGCTAATTTTTGTATGTACTCAGCATCTGATGTCTCTCGTATCAGTGTCCCACAAGAGTAAACCAGCGCTGATGGATTCAAGTTGCCTGTTTTTCCACTAGTCACAATGTCCTCTGTTGTTGTAGGTCATGCACACAACCCTAAGCCAAGAACAACCTATAAATGTCGATGCAGACACAGAGGTTGTCAGCCGACTTTAATCAAATATATTTAGTCAAATATATTTGGTGGCTCCAAAAGACAGAAATTTTTTAACCCAGTGACAGCAAATCCCTTCCCTTTCCTTAGCAGAAACCCAAGACCCTGAACAGGTAATTTAATTCTGGTTGGGTTATCAGAAGAGGATGACCAGGCAAAAACGATTCAACATCTGGTTTGAGCATCGTGGTATCTTCATTAGCCTCATCTAGGCTCCGTGTCTCCGATAGCATCCATACTGGCCAACTGTCATCATGCAACACTGATCTCACAGCTGAAGACAGATTGTAGCATCCGACCAATCGCTTTTAGTAGAGTGGCCATATACATTAGTCAGACAGAAGTAACAGTCCGTCATTTGATCCCTATGCTTATGCCATATCATTGGGACTGTCGAATGGCATTGAGTGGCTTCTGATTACCTCCGAGCTGAGGAGTCCAGGGTAAGTCTTGGTCACCAATTTCACAGCCAAAGCAGAACCCATAACAAGGGCATTTATGCTCCGTTTTTGTGCCTTAAGCTTCAACTTGCCACAAATTAATCAGAATCCATCGCAGCTGTTGCTACATTCATGAGACATTTCCGCTTTACTGAATCTTCCTGATGACAGTAAATGGTATTGTGAGGTACACACACTATATTACTGCCTGACGACCATGTCAATCAACATGCAATCAAACTATATCAATGTAATACACAGCATCTGTATATGTCGTGTTTTTATAGCCTCTCCGCCTACCTCGTCCCTGACGTAGCATAGGGCAGCATCAGATGACGTTTGTATAGCACCTGCACTGAGTGCATGCCCAAGCATGCTTGGAGCAAAACAGCTTGCTCTGGGGGCAATATACTAGTATATTTACAATATGACACGAAATCACAAAAATGGGTTGTATCTACAAAACAGTACGTGATAGGAAATTTTTATGGTGATTTCTGTGATCAGCAGCCCGACATCTTCATCATCCAGTGTTATAAATGGCTTAATTTACCAGAGGTAGAATGTTCAGCTCCAGAAAGTAGAAATTGAGACCAAGATTTTGTTTCACACAACCAGTTGATAGTCACAGGTACAGAGTCACATGTACAGAGTGCTCAGCTGGTTCCTGGTTGCTTGAAACAAAATCTTGGTCTGGATTTTTACTTTCTGGACTTGAAATTTCCACCTCTGTCATTTACGCTAAGATAGAATATTTTTAAAAAATCCCACAACTTATCAGCTGTAACACAACATCTAATTTGTCCACAGACCACATTTCTGGACGTTTCTGGGAGTTTGATGTCTCAGCTGAGACGATGCCTTGACGCTTGGCCGGCCGGGTCCACACGTGGGCGTGGAGAGTGGCTGCTGGTTGACTCGGGTGCGAATCAGCGTGGGTGCTGACTTCCAGGCACAGCAATCCCCAAATGTTTTACAGTACTGGGACATGGTGAGTCTCTCGCTAGTCACAACAATGAACGATGAAGATTTCCAGCAACTCAATGCCACCTGGCACCTGATTCATGCTCTGATCACGTAAGTTCTCATTGCATAGTCACCCTCTCAGATGACCGAGCCGATTGAGATTCCGTGTAGTGACTTTGTTTTGTAATTTCTCTGTATTTTGAAAGAGCAGAGGACAATAGCTTGATGGTGTGTGTGACCTATTCCAGTCGGAACTTGCCCCTGGGTTCCACCTCACGGGGACACATATGTTAAAGCACTGCCTTCTCACGGAAAAGCATATGAGTAGGTTTTTTTGGGAGAGATCTATTAGATCAGTGTTTCCCAATCCGGTCCTCAGGACCCCACAGACAGTCCATATTTTTGGTCCATACTGGGAGCTGTGAAGGAGCAAAAATGTGGGCTGTCTTCGGTTCCCCAAGGACTGAATTGGGAAACATTGCACTACATGCATAGCCTTGTCCTGACTCTCCCCTGGTCACCTTTAAAGACCTACCTGTGTATAAATACATTTCAGCAAACAGGAAGAGTAATAGATTAAGAGTAATTAGGTCTGAACACTTATGGTGAATTATTTAAGAAAAGAACGCAAAAGCCGTCTGAGTTCGGACCAAATCATTCTCATTCCGATTGTTAGGACTGTCAACAAGCTGACAGTGTATAATCACCTGAGATTGTACAGCTTGACATTCTAAAAGACTTTTTCTGGCCAGTGTTGCCTTATACACTCATCAGCCGTAACATTAAAACCACTTACTTAACATTGATTATCTCATTACGACGGCACCTGTCAAGGGGGGCATTATATATTATGCAAGTGGACAATCAGTTCTTGGAGTAAATGTGTTGGAAGCAGGAAAAACGGGCAAGTGTAAGGATCTGAGCGACTTTGACAACGGCCAGACTGTGATGGCTAGAAGACTGGTTCAGAGCATCTCCAGAAAGGCAGGTCTTGTGGGATGTTCCCGGTTTGCAGTGGTCAGTCCCGACCAAAAGTGGTCCAAGGAGGGCTAACCGGTGAACCGGCGATCACGGGTGTCCAAGGCTCACTGATGCGTGTGGGAGCGATGGATCACCCGTCTGTTCTGATCCCACAGGAGAGCTTCTGTAGCACAAATTGCTGAAAAAGATGATGCTGGTTATGACAGAAAGGTGTCAGAACACACCGTGCATCACAGCTTGCTGTGTGTGGGGCTGCGTGGCCGCAGACCGGTCAAAGCGCAAATGCTTGACTCATTTCCTCCACACTCTTGACTCTTTCACTGTCACATGCAAGCTCAGATGCAGGGCTGTCACGGCTGGGCACAAACACGCCTGGGCACGACACGTGTGGCCACAAGCCTCCGCATGAGCTGCAGCCTGGGGGTGAAACACCCAATGGTCTATGTTCACTGCAAAACTAGTGAGGGACACTGTTTTTTCGATGATGTGCACCATTAAGAAAGGTTATATTATGGGATTCTCCCCAGTGTGCCGGGTAAATTTCACTTGAATTTTCATGCTGCAGCCTAGAGTGAATAGACATTCTTCAAGGGAAAAACAGGGAGTCTGCCTCAGTAGTGATCTAATGGCGAGAACGGAAAACAAAGCAGAGAGGCAATACGGGACTGAGAAGGTATGATTAGCTGAAGAAGAGAGTCTGCAGCTGGGAGTGTGGCAATGAGGAGGAAGGAATAATGGAGCAGAACAACAAAGCCTTGTCCAGTGGGCACAATGCTAGTGATTTTTCATTCTCTATATAAAGCTTTGTGTAACCCTATCCCTGCAAAGCACATCTATGCATCTCCACTCTCCAAACACTAATTTGTTTGTTTGCCTTGCACCAGACCAGGGCATCGCCCTTATGACTGGCATCGCATGAACGCCGTGCAAAGTGCTGAACAGGAGGTGGAATTCGGTGCAACCAACAGAGAGGCAGTCTACTCTGGCTCAAGGCTGTCTTCACTGGTCCTATGAGCTGGGCCAGTGATACAATGGAGCTGCATATATTGGTTCCACGATTATTTTCCACTCAGATGACACACTTCACTTAAACTTGGATTTATGGAAAAAATACTCTAGTTGATTTGTTTGACATTACATTTCTACTTTTTTGCCAAGTGACTTCAAAAGGAGAGAAATGCTCAATGTTTTGCTTTGAAGGCAGCATCTTGCCGAGCAACAGCTATATCACACCAATGCAACCAGAAGCTTTCTCAACAGCAACAAAAATGGCAGCAGTTCCTGTGAGGGATTACATCACATCCTGTCAAGCCAAGGCCCTGCCTGACAGCTTCCTGTCTGTTTGTGTGTGTGTGTGTGTGTATGTGTGTGTGTGTATATATATATATATACTGTATATATATATGAGGTTTTCACACAACACAACTCAGTTGAACCAAACTAATATAACTCAGTTGAGCCAAACTGTAATATATTTAACTTGCGTACCTTTGAGAGATGTGGGTACAGCGAATACAGTCGGCCCTCCATACCAGCAAGATTCAATCAAACGCGCATGAAAAATATTTCAAAAATAAAAAATTCCAGAAAGTTCCAAAAAGCAAAACTTGAATTTGCCAAGCACTACGTTGAATCCACTCAAAGAAAATGAGAATGAAGAGGGTGAGAGAGAGAGAAAGAGATAGAATGATTTTAGATTTTCACTATGTACAATTAGATTTTCTATATCTACAACGATGGTCGCATCTGTACTGAACATGTATAGACCTTTTTGTCATTATTCCTTAAACAATACAGTATAACTATTTGCATGGCATTTACATTGTATTTGGCATTATGAGTAATCTAGAGATGATGATGTATGGTATACAGAAGGATGTGCGTAGGTTGTTTGCGAATACTAAGGGACTTTAGCCTCTGTGATCTAATCCAACGCAAATAGGGATGCCTGTATGTGAAGAGCCCGCCCCCATAGCGTTTGCTTTATGTGCCATGAAGTGAAAGTATTCAGTTTGGCTGCATTCTGACGTTCAGTTTTTTTGCTCGTTGATTTCTTTTTTCCACGGAGCAGGATGAGCCGGTAATGGGTAGCATTCCTCGATGACGCCGGGACCCAGCCTGTTGTTGTCAGAGGCTCCTGCTTTAGGTGCGGTCTAACGTGGGATAGATATTAAAGTGACCATAAAATGGTGAGGGACGGACAAACGTGGACAGGATGTTCCTAAGAGCTAAAGAAGTGACATGAGCGCAAGCGAGGGTGTGTTCATAGAGGGCGGCCATCTTCGCTCAGAAATAGAGGCCCGTGGGTTTGGTTGACCACTTGGAACACAGGCTGGACCTTTTGATCTCAGATGTATCACTTCCTTTCATATCTAAATACAGCCTCGCACCTTCTAATATAATCTCCCGTGTGAAGTGTCGTTCACTAGAGCCGTCACATATATGCCTGCTAACCTATCCAGGATAAGCGGGCGCAGGATGGATGGATGGATGGATGGATGAATATGCACAAATATGCAAGCAAAATAATCATAATGAGTAAAATGCTGGGACAGAGTAAATAACCTCCACTTAACCTTGTTGATTTCTTAGCATTACTGTTATATATCAGAAATATTTTGAGGCATTTTAGCCACATCACGAAACATAGAGTCTGTTATTAAAGAAGTATGGATGGATGGAAACTTTACAAAACACCTGGAACCAAAATCACTGGGTCGGCTGTATATGCTGATACATTCTGTAAAATAGTCAAACCATATTGGTAATAGTGCATTTTTACAATCAAAATTCTGCTTATAGGAAATACTGTTTAGTTAAACGCCACACAAGACTCCCCTTTCCGCGCGCTGCAGTGGGGATCTTCCAAACAGTTCAGTGTCCAGCGGAGTCTGAAGGCTGAAAAAAAAATGCTGAATCGTGTGGAAAGTGCACGCATATTTACTGGGGGACAGAGCGAAGCCACAGCACGCGGATGAAGAAAATGTCAGTTGGGGACAGAAAGTCATGGGCGAGTTTTACCAGCCCTGTTTACTGTGCCTCTATTTTATTTCTTCCCACCATATATAGCAAAGGCTGCATTTTCTGAATTTTACAGCCCTTCTCCAGGACCCAGTCTGGCACCGGCTTTCGGAAGCTGACACCACGGCTGCCACACATATGGAAACTAGGGGGGGGGGGCGGTATGAGTTCAACACTTTCCTGTACAGTTGATGCGTGTCGAACTGACGTCAGATTGGATCGTTTTATAGGAATCATCTTATCTCCCCTGTTTTCATTATTACCAACATGCAGTCATACTGAAAAACTCCCCCTTTCATTTAAGATAACTTTGTCATCCTAAAAAGTCTGATCACTTCCAGCTGTTTCAATACAATGGCCACCTAAAAGGAAGATCGGACTTCTAAATTTGTTTCCCACTTCCCGTGGTAATTCCTGCGCATGCAGCGCCGCACAGCTCTCCAAATTGTATCTTTGAAGAAAATAAAGAAGAAAGAAAGAAACGTACGGTTGTTTAAAAGCGCTGGAGAGCGCACCCCAACGCCCGGGATCAGAATGTCCCCCGGTAACAAGAGCGTTCCGGATTACGGGGCGGAGCTGCAGCAACCCACCATAAAAATGAGGCTGATCTAAGCGAAAAGAAAACAGGAGCGCAGAAGGTCGGGCATAAAGACAGTATAAAGCTTAAATGAGCAAGCCCAAGTAGAGGCTCCTTACCCCTGCTGGGTTTGTGTGGATTTTTCCGAATACCGATTTCGACCAGCTTTACTAACTGTCTGCAGCGGCCGATACCCAGGGAGCGATCTGCTTTCTGCTCGCTCCATAAGCTGTTACATAATACTTCAGTGTATTTCTCCCCGTGAGAAGAAGAATAGAGAGAATCGCAGGGAAGGAAAATGAGCACATTCAGGAGCGTATTTGCCACCGCAGTCGTGCTTCTTTTGTGGAGGGTGGAGGAGATCGCGGAAGCCTGTAGCTGCGCACCCGTGCATCCTCAACAGGCTTTTTGCAGCGCAGACGTAGGTAAGTAGCACACGTCTCAGGGACTCGTTATCGTTCACTTGAGACAATACCAAGTCAAACTACGTATGCGTGTGCGAGTCTTTTAATTAAAACAGGTAAATGTGCCTGTTTACATGAGGTTTAAATTATTTGCATATTGATTCTATCAATAATTTAAATTGAACGGTGGTGTCCAGCAAGATTCAAGGACGACAGAGCTCTTAATATAGCCTAACCCTATGGGTCATTGCATTATTTATTATTTATGTTTTGTGTATAATATAGGTAGATTTATTAAAGCGTATTGGGCTGCTACTAATTAGCATCTCAGTTAGTACATTTTTAAACGAAAATCGACTTTGTACAGATTGGTAATCGGGTCAAGACCCGGAAAGTGGAACTGCGCCAAGGATGCAGCATCAAACCGCTTGAAATTAAAATTAGTGCAGAAACGTTTTGTATTGCTTTTATTTAAGCATACAGTTTACAGTTTTTGTAGCAGCCATATCTATTCACTGTCATAGACTGTGCCGCTATTTCGAGTATATATGTATTTGTTTATGTTTGGAGCCTAAGGTAGCCATACGTGTAGGGATGCATTTCAGGGAAAACCTTCCTCTGGGAAAAAATGCAACTTCCTGGAAGACTCTAGAAAGTTCTTCTCTTGGTTGACAGCGGGAGTTTCATCCCGTCATTATGGTATGAGAGCACGCCCGCGCGTCTCACAAAACGAGTCGTTTGCAAGCCCTTTCTGTCGCTCAGTGTCACAGTGCCTGGATCTGTGGGCAGACTAGCCGTCCGTACGTCTCCAGTTAAAAAAAAAAAACCGGAGAATAGTAATTAAAGATATGGTGTCATTTTGCACTGACTAGTGCACTTGCAGTGACAACCATGTAATCGGGTTTGTTGTTCTGTGTACTTTTCCGCTTGTAAACAACTGCAGACTTCCTGTGTTTTAAATGTGTAACTGACGGGGCAGCAGTCTTGCACGCCACACGTGCTGAACTATAACTTGGCACCAACTCACCGGTCAGTCCTACTGAATCGTCCCCCATATTCCTAATGAGTTTCCATGATTTTAAACGCTTCATACCTTTCTGGTGAAGCCTGACATGGATGATCTAAAATGGGAGGAAATGTTATGAAGGGGAAAAAAACATCCACAACTCAGCCTTTACAGAAATCCCCCCATCTATGGAATGCCAGGCTAACTAGCGAGCTGAGACAGTGCATGAACGTGATCCTGAGCTGATCTCTGTGGTCTAAGGAGGGGTCCCTACTTTCCAGATATTGGTTATTACTTAAATATGATACCTAAAAGGGTCTGTATTTCTAGAATGTGCCGTAAATATTTTTGTTGTAATTATTTTATTGTATCATGGTCTTTTGAGCTTTGTTGCAAGAAGATAGGTTTGGTTGCAACATTGGTAGGGACCAAATCGGCCCCAAATCCCCCAGCCCCCATAAATGCATGATACTCCTACATTATTGATAGGGATGTGTCCTTACCGTCTATACCAAAATGCATGCGCTTGCTTTCTTTCCCTCAAAGACAGAATGAATTCTTGTCAAACAGGAGCTAGTGGCATTTAACGTCTTACCTTTCGGCTGGATTCTGAAGTCTTTACTGAGAAAGTTCTTCCGCACTCCAGGCCAGCAAAAATATTATTGCATATACTAAGATGTGCAGAAAATATACACACACGGACATTGTGGGATTTAAGGGTCATTCGAAGTGTGGAGACTTAACAAGGAAATAATATTATTCTAGGAAATTAGATAATTGTGCAGTTTAAGTGGTGATTGCATGCGTGTTGATTCATGTCACCTAGAGATTATGAGAACATTCTCTATAGTTAAAACCTCTGGTATGTGCAGCGATGTTCAGTGTTGTGCACTTGACACAGGAGGGATGGAAGAAGATGGAGATGAAGATAATTTGGTCTGGGCTGGTGTTAATTCACCCCGTCACAAGAAAACAATCTTTGCTGGACGTATAGAGTGTAATGACAACCCAGCGCAGGATAGGAAAGTCCGTGAGTCTAGGGAGGGATTTGGAAACTTTATAAAATTTTGCGAAATGGTTGGCGGATGCCAGCAACAGCGTGGCCTGTTGTCCTGTGTGGGTCCAGCCCCTTGTGAGAGACAGTAGGGCCAGGGGTGTGTTAACCAAGGAGGATACGGCTTGCTGGACCACAAAACTGGCTGGATGATGATCAATGAAGGGGAAAATATGTATATTTTTTATGTTTCATTTTAGTATATTTAAAATTTTTATTTATTTTAATACTCACTGAGTCTAGTGATTCAGGCTGGTGAACAAGCGTATGTTAACGAGGGCTCCGACAGGGCCGGTTTGTTTTTTCGCTTCTGCTGTTAAAATACTGCTCTGCTTGCTGAAAGCGAGCCTTCTTTAGGACCTGCCTGTGGTCTCCACAGCACTCCTTCTAATTTTATTAAAAGCCCTCTCATTCCATGGCAGCGTGGCTTGCAGAGAAACCACATTATCCAGTTTGTGTTTCCTCGGCAGGGCTCGAGCTGGGCCATGCATCTCGGGGTAATTAAAGTAAATATTTCTGCAAATCAAGTTACGTGAACGAAAAACTGTATCTTTTCTGTGGTTGCGTTTCACGGAGTCGACGTTTTTGATTGAGGCTTCGGAGTATGCCGGAGAGGGCATCGATCGCACAACGCGTTAGGAAGCAGTTTTTGCGGCTCGTGGATTTAAATGTGTCTTTGTGAATGTAGGTGTTCATGATGTCGGCGATGGCTGTGAGCTTTTTCAAGGGGGACCTTACCGGGGAATCTGTGGTGGGATAATGCGAGTGCTTCCCTGGGATGACGCCCCTTTCCTGGCCAGCTTTGCACGTGACACGGCCTTTGGATTGGCTGGGGAGCCAAGGTCTCTGCGGAGGCCTACGATGAGTCTGAATTAATCTCAACCATAGGGGATCTCTTTCACTATTCTCCTGACTCCCTCTTCCTCATCATCATCTTCGCCAGTGTGTCTGACACTCGCGGGAGTTTTAATTACAGAAAGATGTTGTGAGGGCAGAAGGAAAAATGATTGCTGGGTCCAAGGAACTAAAGGAGGTAGAACCTAGACATCTGATTGGTTGGTCCCACCTCCTTTAGTTGCTTGGACCCACCTCCTCTACAATCTGACTGGTTATCCCTCTGAACCAATAATTTTTCCTTCTGCCCTCAGTACATTTTTCTGAAAATAAAACTCCCTTGAGCATCTGAGTGAGACCAGCAGCAGAGAATCCAAAGGGGACTATGACAGGCCTTTGTGTTTGAGGCTGACTGTATGCAGTGGAATGCTGTCTACAACAGTCCGGCGTGCTGTACAGACACATGAGATGCTACAAATGGAGCATGCTCCCTCTGCAGCACCTGCCCTGGGAGGTGGATTCTGGGAAAGGGAGTCTTTTGTTGCCCCGCCCACTGTTGTTTTGTTCCGAGACCATCCGGTTTCCAGCGGTTGATATCATGTTGTAAGAGTGAATGGTGGTGATGCATCAAACAGCAGCAGAAGGCATGCTGTGGGACAAGCTCTTGGGTAGAAGCAGGAGGAAATTCACCAGCTGCTATTCCTTGTCCAATTAGGGGAGTCTGATCTGGTCCAAACTAGTGTGGAGACTTGCTGGTTCCTGGAGGGCAGGACGTGAGTCAGCAAGCTTTGAGTGTGTGTAAGGTTGCTTTTTGGTAAAAAGCGGACTAGGAACCAGCATGTGGATGTGAATATAAATTTGTGTGTCGGGGGGGGGGGGGGGGGGCAGTGGCTCTTGTGCTGTTTTTCTCCCAAATCCATCTAACACATTCCCTCTGCAGGAAAATAGATTATTGTTGTGCTGCTTTTTAGGGAGACTCAATAATTGTGTTTATTTTAGTGACTCATTCACTCACATGTTGGCAGCAGCTAGGGGTGTATTGTTGCTTTCAACACAAAAACCATTTGCAGGCTTCCAGTTGGAGTTGAATTGCAAGTTAACACCTAGTACAGTTCTTGCTTTGTTATTGTGGCTTTGCTGTGTCCAGAACAACACATTTAAAGAATGGAAACAGTGTAAAGTAGTGAGTTTGATGAAGGCGCAAACGGACAGTAGGCTAAAGGTGTTACCTTTTTCAGTATAACCCTGGAACCTTCTGGCTTTGGGTCTGACACACAGCAGATTCAAGTTTCAGAAAATTAGTCTAATTTTCAAACTCTAGGGCTTGGATTTTTAGGAAAGCTGGCTGTTTTATCCTGCCTGAGAGTGTGTGCAGTTGGATCGGTGTTCCACATGGCACCGTCCTGGGTGCCATCCTCTGCCCGCCTCGTGGCTGTTCCTTGTAAGAGTGGGCTGCCATTATTCTCCTGTGAAATCATGTGATCCTGCTCAAGCTGGATGTTCTACTGAACGTCAGAATATCCAGAAGCTGAGCAAAGTCTTCCATGAAAAGATAACATGACAATTTCTGGAAATGTTTATACATAATCCAGCTTTTTAATGGATATAACGAGTGTAAAATGGAAAGTTTGGCATGATTCATCATCACTTCTTAAAAATGTTATTATGAAGAGCCCAAAGCAGTGATTCGCCTGTTAGGGTTTGTTACTCATGTGAAGACATTTCCAGGGTAATACTTGTGACTATTACTGTCTTAGGTTTTTAAATGAAGATAATAGATTTTTAGAAAAACAGTTAATTAAAGCCTTGCAACATTTCCAGGCAGGCCCACTGTCTCAGGGGGGTTAACTAGGGAAATTGTCTGGGGGGAGGGGGGTGTCAGGATAGGGTGTTGTGGGGGCCGGGAATTATACGTGGCAAGCTTGTTTCTGGGTAGTAATTATTATCGTGAACAGACAGCAACAGAGAATCTTTTCATATTTAAATAATTGTGTAAATAAAAGCGCACGCATGAAATTTTTACAAAATAACATTTGGTAATGCTTTGCATTTACTGCACCTTCATAATGCCTTTATAATACATTCATAGAACATTCATAAGCAACATGTAAGTATACCTAAACGTCTTTATTTTACATTAATAACAAACATTGTATGATTATAATAATGATGTTTGTTATTAATGTATATTAAAGCTGTAAAAGCATGTTAGGGTGTTAATGTATACTTCCATGCTGTGTATGAATGTTCTATTAATGCATTATGAAGGTGCAGTTAATGTAAAGCGTTTTATGTTATTTTACTAAACTAGATACGTTGTATTAAAATGTATGTTACAGTAATTCAAGATAATTCGTTCTTTTAGTGGTACAGAGCCAGTCTTAAAGAGCCTGCTTTAACATCTGCATTGCAGCCCGTGGGGTTGAGTGCGATGGTTAGCATTCAGGGTCAAGAATGCTCCTCCTAACCCTGACAAAAACTCTTTGACTGCTGTACTTAAGCTCAGGCTCGTTGTAGTTCTGCTTGGTAAAGGCCTATGCAGTGAGCTCATGGGTGAAGAGCAGTGAGCCGTTTCCCAGGGCGGCCCAGCGTGACCAGGCCATAACCAGTCGCAGTCGTGGTGATGCTAACAGTGTCATGGCCTGTTGCTGTTTTCCTCCATACGCTTGTCTTTCGGTACCTCTGGCACAGATTTATCTTTTGTGTTATCCGTCCATAACTTTCATCGAGATGTCCATGTAGTCTTCTTCCGTTTATCATTCCAAACTGTAGCAAACTCTTCGACCGTCCACCGTAGTGGGTCCTCCCAGCTATTATTTTTTTTCCCGTTGCTGTGAAATCATGAGTGTTTTCATCTCAAAGGTGTACTGAGCAGTTGATCTTGGCAGGCCATAGTTTTTGATAAGCACGTCTCTGTCTCCCTCCGAGAATGTTAAATTGCAGGAAACGTAGGAGGGAGCACTTGCACCAAAGTGCAGGGCATGATGGGAAATAAAGACTAGGGAGTGACCGAAATAGCCAGCTGAAACCTTTCAGTCGTCTTCTGTCTTAGATGCTCCCTTGTGTCAGTCGTCCACTTATTTCCTGTATTCATTTACCATGGTTCAGACCTCAAGATGTTGACTATATGGGTGGGGTGGGGGGTGGTGGGAAACAATGAGTCAGCATCATTCCCCACAGAACCATATGTGCACTTTTTAGCTGTGAGTCATAAAAGAACGGTTTTGTCTGGGGGGATGAGCTGATGACCTCCCTGCCCCCTGTGGCTAACCCTCCTCCACAAACCATTAAACTCCTATCTGTTAAATTGAGGTTTATGGAAAGTTCAGGGCAGTTTCCCCAGGAATATAAGTGAAAGGGACGACTTTCAGTGGAAGCTGGACTAGAGTAGCTTTTTCACTAAAAGATGATTTTAGCTGTGATTTCATGCATAGTTTTTGGAAACTGCCAGACAAGTTATAACTTGAATTGAATTTGTAATTTTTAATTACATTTTTCACACACTAGCATAATATGTTGCTTTTTTACAGCTATATACACAAATGAGCAGCGAATGAGGATGGTACACTGTTTGGGATGCAGACAAATCAATTTCTGTGATCCATGTTGTCTGGCAGTAGCCTTGAGTCCAGCTAGGGACCAAAAGTTCAGGGTACTGTTTCCGTCCAGGTGGGGGTGAGTCTTTCCTGTCGCACGGGAGTCTCTGCTCTGATGCTCTGCCGCAGTCCTGTTCTTGCAGGGTCCCGGGACCCTTCACCTTTGGGCATTCCGAGTCTGCACAGGGCCTTTGAAATGTGGGGGATCGAATGCAGGCCTGTAGCGTAAGCAGGGGACCCTTTCTGCTTCACCCCCCCAGGTTTGCTTAATGTATTCAGTCTGTGTGTAGCTCATCAACATCTAAAAGGTCACCCAGTTAATGACTTCCTTTTGCGTACACTTACTTTACGCATATTTAGAGTGAGGGGGAGTGAGAGAGGGGGCTTAGTGAAACATCGCAAAAGGGAAAGACATCTGGGCCTTATTATTGAAATGATTTTTTAAAATTATAACCCCCCCCTTGTACCTGAGCCATGCATCCCAACAATGTGGGCTGACTGGAACATTTTAATATATCGCACTGCAGCACAAAGGCAGAGCATCAACGACACCGACTTTAAAACTGACCAGTAGGGCTTCAAAGGTTTGACTGTCCACCCAAATGTGTAGAAGGCAGGGAAATGATAGTTTTGATTTTGTTTTAGAAAAAAACACTAAGTATAGTTGAACTAAGACACTTTGTCACAGGATACAACAGAACCTAAGAGAGCCGTTTGCGGTGATAATCCCATTTTTCAGATTCCCATAAAAGGTGGTAAAAGTGTTATTTTTGGGGTTTACATGTTCACACACAGGGTGATGTGGAGTTGGGAGCAGGTGCTCTGTGTGCGGAAGTTCGGGGGGGGGGGGGGTGGGGGGGGGGGGGGGGGGGGTCTGGGAGTGCGGAAGGGTGGGTCTGGCCATCTCTCTGTCGTCATCTGGAGAATGGAGTGGTTTCCTGTGTAGCACTTCTTGTAGGGAAGGATTCCTGGGAAGCGTCTCCAGTGAACATGCACGTTTCGGCCGGTATTTTCACTAATGAGTAATCCAGGGTTGGGCCATCGGCTCAATGCAGTGGACCCTCTCCTGTGGCAGGTGGTCCAACAGCAGTAGTGGAAGGGCTCTTTCCTCCAGTCTTTCTCCTCTTTCATCGCCTTTCTTACTGGACCAAGGAAACTGGGGTGGGGGGGGAGACAGATGGCTGCGTGTGTCAGCACCTTCAGTCGATTTAACCTGGGCGTCAGCTGACTTGACAGGCCCTGGGAGGTGGGGGAGGGGCAGCGGAAAAGGAAGGGTGGGGGAAGGGCAGTCAGTCGCTCATGCTGCAATTGCTGACTGGTTCCTTCCTGTCTGCGTCCAGATTGCGTAGCTCGTTCAGCCTTGCGCCATTGAGATGGTACCTGGGCAGTCTGCTGAATGAAAGCTTCACGGCTGGACTGTAAGTTTTGGGGTGGAGGCGACCCCAACGTGACTGAAATGTGGAGTCAGAGGCTGGTGTAGAAAGACCAAGAATCTAGCTGCCCTCCGTCCTTCCAGCAGTCCTGTCTTTTCCAGGGGGACAGGTGCTGTTGGGTGGATTATGGCGCGAAGACACTGTGGTTACGGGCTTCCTGTAGCTTTTAAAAGGCCTGTATGTCATGTCAAGCAAAATCTGAGTATGTGCGGTTTGCCAAAGATGATCTGGACACTTTGCACTAGCCAACACTCGAACCCTGGCATTTGTACTGTAGAAGTTCTGGGGGGCACATTAGGAAAGAGCCAAGGTAGCTTTCTCTGTTAGGGGAGATTATTATCTTAAGACGGAATAGTACATAATGTCAGATTTTAGGTCGTTTACTTTTGCATTACAATCAAACACAGGCTAACATGCTACTGATATCTTGGAATAAAGATGTTTTATTCATAACTATGAAAGTCCTAAGACTTGTTGGGATAGTGTAGATTACAGCCCAGTTTTCGGAGAAGGTGTTTGGAATGACTCATCCACCTCAAACTAAAACTAATCCAAAATAAACCAATGCAGTGGCTTTTCTTTGTTTCTGCAGTGATCAGAGCAAAGGTAGTTAGTGGAAAAGAAGTGAATTCTGGGAATGATATCTACGGTAATCCCATCAAGAGGACTCAGTATGAGATCAAGCAGATCAAGGTAACCAGTGTCGACACACTATTCTTTAACATCACCCTAATTTCTTGGTCTTCAGCAGTCAGCTGACACTGGTCAGGTGTTCGGCATGCAGACCGCTGATTGGTTCTTCTCTTTTCCTTCTGGGCTTTTTGACAGATGTTTAAAGGGCCAGACAAAGACATTGAATCTGTCCTCACTGCTCCATCCTCATCTGTCTGCGGGGTAACCCTGGATTACAGTGACAAAAAGGAATATCTGATTGCAGGTGAGATTCTCACGTTGAACTGAACCGAACAGCCTTCAAAACAGAATTTACCAACTTCCTGCTGGGTCTGCCAAGGGTATTTTCCCAGGCTATATAAAAATACAATGCTGTGTACATCTTTTTGTTTAATCAGGTTGGTACGCTGGAAGAAATTACACCCAAATCACAGGAATCATTGATCATTTCATGCTGAATAGGCTCTAGACCTCAGTGTCTGAGTACTTTGCACTATGTGACCACCAGCCCAGCTGTCAGTATGCAGTTCACCCTTCTGCATCACGACTTTCCCCATCGCAGTTTTGATATATATCATGGGGTTGGCATAAGTCATTAAACTGAGTTAGGTGTTCTGCAAAAGCCACAAATGACACTTGAAGGCCAGCAAAAAACACAAAAAAGTTTAGTAACTCATAAATCCATAAAATATACATACAGTGTTGATTTGGAGGACACCAAGTGTGTTTACAGCAGCCTGTCACATGATTAGAATAGAATAGAATAGAATAGAATCTTGCAGAGATCTCTGTATGTTGCGTTTCTCAAATCTTTCCACTTCGCTTTGCTCGCCAAGGGGACCAGAAAAGTTTTACAAGGTTTTTCCAGCTTGAGGGGGGCCTGCGCCCCTAACCCCCCCCCCCCCTGTGGAAGGGTCGACTGTACCATCAGTATAATGGNTAGAATAGAATAGAATAGAATCTTGCAGAGATCTCTGTATGTTGCGTTTCTCAAATCTTTCCACTTCGCTTTGCTTATCTTTTGTTTTTTGTGTTTTTTTCTTCACTTTTCCAGATCGTGGTGGGTCTGCGCCCCTAACCCCCTCCATGTGGAAGGGTCGACTGTACCATCAGTATAATGGTTCATGGGTCCAGGTTGTGTGCAATACAGAACAATGGAAATTAAAAGGGAGTATGTATCATCTTCAGTATCTAATCCAACCATCTGTCACCCAACTACAAATTCAGTACAAGATTGCAGGGCTAGGTACAGCCATTGATGACAAACAACAGTAAATGACAAATAAGGGTGAATAACACCACTAGGGACAAATGCTTCTCTGTTCCTGTCTTCTGTAGGCAAAGCAGAAGGAGCAGGCACCATGCACGTGACCCTTTGTGACTTCATTGTTCCCTGGGAAACTCTGAGTGTCACACAGAAGAAGAGCTTAATCCAGCGCTATGAGATGGGCTGTGGGTGCAAGGTATGGGTGTGGCTAAACAGGATGTGTGGGTGTGGCTAAACAGGATGTGTGGGAGTGGCTAAACAGGATGTGTGGGAGTGGCTAAACAGGATGTGTGGGAGTGGTTATTTTATTTAGATATTGCAACATTTATGAAGGAAACCATGGTCTTCAACCTGGGGGTTTGTAGAGCAGGTGCAGGGGTTTGCAGACACATACTGTAAATTATATAAATGTTGCCGTAATTGGTTACAGTGTCCCGCTGGTGTCAGGAATGTATGCAGATACAGCTACTCAGAACCTTTTATTTATGGCTACAAATCGTTCTATATTTGGCAATCTTTCTCCTACCCCATATCTGGCCCCATCCCTTATTTAACCCTGTTCTCATCTCTCCCTCATCCCTGTTCTTTGCCCTCCCCCCACTCCCCCCAACTCAGATCACACGGTGCATCTCCTTGCCCTGCACTATCAGCACCCCAGAGGAGTGTCTGTGGACAGACTGGCTGATGGAGAAGACTGTCAGCGGGGATCAGGCCAAGCACTACTCCTGCATCAAGAGGAGCGACGGCTCCTGCTCCTGGTACCGCGGGATGGCCCCGCCCAAAACTGACTTCCTGGATGTCGAAGACCCATAATGGAACAGCTACTAGCTGAACGCCCCCTATTAGAAATACCCACGACAAATAAAAACATGTAAAAACATGTAAACATGACAGATGAAGATGATGATTATGATGATGATGATGATGATGATGAAGGGGGGATATTCATTTGTAATTACTAGTACATGAGATCGATATAGACTGGTTGAATGATGGTGTCATTTCCTGAAGAAGACTTTCTGTAGGAAACACCATAAATATGTGAGGGACAATCTTAACACAAGAGCACTTTCTGCCCCAAAAAGCGCTTAAACCTTCTTAAATTACACACCCTGCTTACACAAACTGCAGGCCCACCCATTACCAAACCTTCATGTAGATGTACAGTGACACATAATTCCCAAACTAAGATGTGGCCCAAGGTCAATTTAAATGGATCAGGTCGGACTTTACCAGCTCCTGAGGATGAGGTCTAACAATGTCTGTCTTACGTTGGATTCTGCTGTGCAGATGAATTGCTTGTGAGACAGAACCATGAGCTCCTTGCTTTGAAAAAGTTCAGTTTCCTTCATTAGTCTCTATAAAAAAAAAAAAACGTACACATTTAAGAAGAAAACTGTCCCAATTTCACAGAAGAGGAGTAGGGGTATCAGAAGAATAGATTTGGAGCAGAGTGGGGAAGTTCATTGCCTCACTTCCACACAATTTGCTGTGGAGAGTTCATGATACTTGATGCCAGCAGACGTTAGCAGAGATACATCAGAATGCACAGTTACCTTCAGCAGTGAAACCACATGAGAAACGCAGCAAGACCAGACAATATCGACTAATCTGTCTCTCTGGACGTTTAAAAAATTAGACTGCGGAACATCTGTCTCTGGCTTTACTTATAACGATCTTCCAACAAATGTAGTACAAATCCTAATGTAGGGCCCAATGACAGAACACATATTCAATCCGTCTACAACTATCACATCTGAAACCGAATTTAGCATTTAACACAGTTAGGTACCAACTCCCTAAATCACTGTGAAGTTTTTTTTTGTTCATTTTGGAATTTATTCAAATGTACCAGTTGTGATGTGAACAGGCGACTTGAAAATCTGCTTTAGCTCAAAAACCCTTGCGTTAATCTTACAGATGGAAGTGTATGTCACTGTTAACTCAGAAATTAAGGAAACCAATCAGTAGCCTCTCTCAGAACTAGATTGGATTTATGATTGACAACTAACAAAAACAATGACGCTTGGAGGAAACTGCCACTTTAAATCTATTTCACCTTTGATCTGTTACTTCCCTGAGCGGATTCCAGACGTCTCATTTGTCCAGTCCATGCTATTGCAGATCTGGAAACAAGCTTGCTCTGTATCCCTATCACATGTTGGCCCCTCTCCCTAACAACCCATCAGCCAATCCCATCTCCCTAACAGCCCGTCAGCCAATCCTATCACCTCCTTGTTTTCTTATCTGCTGACAACTCCTGCAAACGTAGCTTTAATGTTTACATCTACTTCACATTTCCTTTACTGATCATTTAGAGAATTAATGGATTTGTATACTTGGTTAGTTCTAGATTTGCACTTTCTCAACAGTTGCTGTAAAGAAAAACCCACACGCATGGTCAAAAGTTGAATATCTGACAGGGGAACTGTTCCCGGTTTTTTGTACTTGACTTTGGTGTCCGTGTGGTTTCCTATTTCGGCATTGTACTCTGCCTTATCACATGGCAGTTCCTCTACAATGTTTGACTGACCTTTTCCTAAGAAGGCTTTTAATTTCGCCTGTGTGCCCATGATGATTGTAAGAGTATTAAATGTCTTGCAGCCCTCAAGGATCCCTGTAAAAGAGACACCTTGTAGCCTTGTTAACCTCTTCACGGTTTTAACCCTTCTCTGTCATTCCTCCATGCCTTCGCACAAATCTTTTGGAGCTGTTGTATCATTGCACAAGGGTCCTTGTACCAGGGCTTTAAGAGGCACAAGAACTGAAGAACATTAGAGGGTGTGAAAGTTTGTGAAGTTGGGAGAGCCCCACCAGAAAAAACACGAGTTCCAGTCATAGAATCGCATGGCTTTTTGTGTGCGTCAGACTCTGTGTACCTGCCGGGTTCATGCCCTCCATTGACCTTTTACTGGTGTGGCTCTTGTGTCAACGCACAGATTAGCGAACAGTCTAAATTACCGGAAATTAATATGGCAGGTTACCGACTGCCAGTGTGGAAGTTGATTACTGAGCACAAGCTCGTGCAGGAAGTGGGTCCCATATACCTGCTTGGCAGAGGTGGAAAGTTCAGGTCAAGAAAGTACAAATCCAGACCAAGATTTTGTTTCAACCAACCATTGGAGTACTCTGTGACTGTGACTCTTTATACTCAACTACTTGGTAGAAACAAAATTTTGGCCTGGATTTGCACTGGACCTGAACTTTCCACCTCTGCTGCCTGATTAGATGTATACAGCACAGGCGAGAGGCAAACTGTACATGTGGTAAAAGCTCAAGAGATCAGAAGTCAAGGAGATTGATCCCTTTCTGTTCTTTTTATACCAAGGATGTAAATTGACCAGCTAGCTCGTTCGTGTACCTTCCTTTTCCATAATGAAGAGTGTCCTGTATCCCATAAGAATCTCTTTCTCCATCTCCATGAGTTCAAAGGGACTTTCAAATACCTTTGTATGAAAGCAATCAAGAAAAAATGTTTACATGCATTTTGTAGTGTGTATGCTTTTGCAAAGATTAAGCATTTTGGAAATGAAAACATAATTTAAAGAGGTAGTCAATCCAAGTTTGATATTATTTGCCATTTTCTTGTGTATTACGTTTGTTTTATGTTATCACTTTTGATTTTCAGTATTTTTACTAGCCTTCATCTTCTTGGAAAGTATCGCGAAAAGTTCGAGTGTAAACCTTGTGCTGGAACCACGGGAGACCTATCGAATATAAGTCAAACTATGCATGTCTTGTGTAAACATTGACAACAATGGCCAAATTACACAGTATTATCAAATAAAGGTTTAGAGTAATGCAATGTGAACTAAGATTATTTCATTAGCATGACCGAAATGTAATGAATCCATCTTACAACTGCTTATTCAGTTCTGGGGGGGCTGAGATCCACGAGGCAGGAAGTCAGTCCGCTGCAAAGCACTGAAATACAGCCATTTGCTTACCTCTATGAGGAAACCGTAGTACAATAATGAAATCTCCAAATACATCGCAGAGGAAGGTAACAGTGCTTCCTACTGAGTCACCATGACACTCAAATTTAATGCTTAATGTTAAATGCCAAATATAAGGAATAAGAAATTGCGCAAATTTGGAAATACATACAATTTTCCAACTTAATATTTGACCATAGACAGTGGGATTACGAAATAATGGCGCATTCCGACATACATCTGTTTCCAACAGAATGTCCTTTATTCTCCTGCTGATTTTCCAGCTACGTCACCGATAGATGCTGGAGTGTGCCGCGTCATGATTTGTATTTTAAGTGCGCCCTCACGTGGTGCGGCTATCAATTACATCTTTATTTAGAAAGGAGCAAAAATACAAAATAGAGTACAGACTACTTTCTCTTATATGTTACACATTCGTTACATTTTAGACAGAAGCAACGTTGCTACTTTCAGAGATTTATTTTAATAATTTTATTTTATTTATTTTATTATCAAAAAGAATATATATGTGATGGAATTGAACGTCTGTATAATATCTAATTATAATTTTATTTTCGTGTTGGTTAAATGAATAATGCGGGTTTGAACACCGCATAGTAACATAAGTGACATTCGTAAACAAAGCAAGTTTAAAATGGATTCCACAGGAAAGTCACCAACCGATCTTCCTGTCGTTGCCCCTGATTGGATGCGAGGAAGGGACTCGAACTATTTCCTGACAACGTGATTGCTCTACAGTAGTGTCAATCAAGGCGTGGCCACGCCCCTTCACATTGCAGCATGGAGGATAGAATGTAACAAATTTCAGGTACAGAAGCAAGGTAATCTGTCTCCAAGAAAGAAAGGTCGTCCGTCCGGAAAGATAAAAGGAAGGTAATTGCGGAAAAGTCGGCGATTATTTTTAAGCATGCCAGGCAACGATGTAATCAATTCTCGAAAAGAAATGGGTGAGAGGCACAGCACGACCACCTCGCTAGCCTGTTAGCTAACCATCACCATCGTGCCACATCGTGTCAGCTAGATGAGAAGCAGTTTCGATGGGCGATCGGTGCTACATCTCCACTTTCCTCTTCGGTTCTGTATAACGGCTGTGTCCGCGATAAGTGATGCTGGACACGGCTGGCGGCGTGTGCTATGCGTTTTGAGCCGTAGACGTGCTAACTGCTGACTTCCAGCTGCCTTGCCTAATGGGATCGTGACTGTAAGGCACGCGTCGCTCCGGCGTGGTCGCGGTCCTCGCAAGCGCCAAACAATCGTGCCCGATGAAACCAAAGTAACACGCCGCTGTGTTGCCCCCCCTCTCCCGGACTGGCCGCGCTTCAGTGCGGCTATCGACTTTTAAATAATCACATGCTTGATTCTGCGTGACGGGGTGGGCTGAGGGCGAAACGTGCCTACCGGAGGGTAGGCACGGGGTTTAGCCTGGCCGCGTCTGTGCTGGATGGGGGCCGCCGTTTCCCTCTGCTGCTGGGGGGTGGCAGTGCCCCCCCCGGTGTGCTGCTCCGATCGTGGCTGTTACTCGCCCATGTGTGGCCGGGCCTAACGTGGGCGCCCTAGATGATCATGTGTGCCATTTTCATAGCCTTACTCTCCATCGCCATGTCTTGGCTTTAACTTTCAGCCTTGATGTGATTCTTTTTTAATTCGTACAATTTCAGTCAATGTTAAAATACAGTACGGCGAGAAACGTAAAAACACATCGACCCCATGCTGTTTTTCTTGTTTATAATTCTACATGGGTTTTGGGAGCGCCGATCGATGCTGTAAAGGGACCCTTTACGGTTTTTCTCCCCAAGGTTATGCAAGCAGACACACTTCTCTACCTGCACCCCTAAGTTCTCGGTTCAGAGTCAGTGCTGCGAGTTTCATTTAACGCCGAGCTTCTCCTTCACATGCACGCCGCTTGTCTGCCTGTTAGTATGTCTCCGTGGTGTTTTTCTGTTTTATCGTTGATTGCTTAATGTAAATATTTAAAATACAAATTGCCGCCCTGACTCTGCATTACATCAGTCATACATTTTAAATAACCTTTCACCGCATCAGTTTTCTTAATCTGTTTTTTTTTCTCTACTGTTATTTTATTTCTACTTCTTTAACAAAGATTTTGGCTTCATGAATTTACTTCCCTCCATAAAAAAATGTTCTAGCAAATGCTATATAAGCCAAATGAAAAAGTGATGTGACTTTAGTGATGTGTAATATGCCTGTAATTGACCACGTGGCTGATATGAGGGACAGTCTGGCCTTGGAAATGCACTCTGTGGATCATCTACACACTTAAGTATGAGGAGCATGAATCTGTGTGCACGTGCAACAGATATATCCTGTTGTAGCTGGGAGATACCACCCGGTGAAGCTCCCTCGCTGTATGTTACAGCTTGGCTGGTTTTGTTTGTTAGATATCTGTCTACTTTGTATAATGTTTGTCTAAATATAAAATCAGATGTCATTAAAGCTTATTTTGATCAAATGTCAGGAAGAGTAAACATAGTAGCTAATAGTGATTATTATCCAATGGCTTCAGTAGGACGTTTTTAAAAGGTTTTTTCTGCATTGCAATTAGAAATGAGCTTGATAGCCCTTTTATTTTTTTTTTAGTCACTCTATTATGGACTCGGATGCTGTTAAACTGGGTGGTTTTAGTGCCACTCAGGCCGCACTGCTAGCACTGCCATCGTGACATCCTCGTCCTCCAGTTTCTGGTGTGTTTTGGCCTTCGTTTGCAGCGAACTGAAACCCGTTGGGGATTTTCTCAGAGTTCATTGTGTGCTGGCTCGTCTTGCGCTGCGGGTATTTTTACGTGCAGATTCACGGCAGCTGTTCGCCTGATTGCTGGGCTTGTCGGCCTGAAATTGGATTATGGCATGCTTGTTACTGGGTGCTCCTCTCGCTTGGTGGGTCTGGTCTCCTGGGTGGAGTTCTCCCTTCACATCACCGTGTGTCTTAAGGGGCCCCCCGTCCCTCTCCCCCCCGTAGGGTGGTTACATCACGGGGTCGTCGCCCTGACGAGCCGCCTCGTGATGTCAGCTTTAATGGCATCAGCACGGTAACCTGGAGGTCGGTTTGTCCTTGTGTGTGTCGTCTGGTTCTCTGCCCTCCTATGCCATGGTTTAATCCTGAGCCATTCCTAAAATCTGGAACACCCCCCCAGCCCAGGCATCTTCTGTCTTCTTGCTGTCGCCGTAGCGCCCCCTGGCCATTGCAGGTCGTCAGTGCGCAGGTCCTGTTCCGCACAAGCTGTGCTATAGGCCTGAGTGTATGTGCCCGTTAGTGAGTGTGATGCTTTGTGCATACGCCTACTGGCCAGCATCTGGGACAGGATGACATGCAAGTCGGTCGAACTCTAAATCGCCCCGTTTCCGGGGACCATTCTCTTCCCCTCTGCCAGGTCGATAACAGGGAGGAGGGGGCAGTCTGTCAGCCCCTGATGGGAGTCAGATGAGATCTGTGAAAAGAAGCATCCCAGTGTTCTTGTACTCAGACTTGAACACATGGCAAATTAAAGGATAAATTAATAAAAATCAGTGCATCCTATAACCACTTAATTCTTTTTGGGATTGCAGGCTAGTTATGTTTTGGGATAGAGAGAGCGATGGAGAGGGTGAAGCCAGAGAGAGTTGGCAGATGTGCAGGAGAACATCTGGCCCTTTTGTTCCGTGCCGAGCCGCACGTTGCATTGACTTTGTGCTGCACTCCAGTGCAAAGTCCACGTGAGCTCGGCGTATCAGGGAAGCCCCTGTCTCAGGCCCCGCTCCCTCCTGTTCTGCATAATCATTGGAAATGGCAGCCAAGGCCCAGCCGCTCCTCTCTGACCTCAGCCTGTCGTTGCCGTTGCTGCAGCCGCCTACGGCCGTCCCACATCAGGGAGACTGGATTTTTGTGGTTTGTCACCGCCAACCCCGTTTCCCCAGTCAGGTAGAGGTGGGTTAAAGTGGTGAACTGGAAAATGTGGCCAGACTGCTTTTCTGAAGCGCGGCCTTCAGGGCCTGGCCTTGTGACTGGGGATGTAGTGGTTTGTGTCTCGGGACAGGAGGGAGGGAGTCATTTTCACGGGCTATGCAGCTAACAATATTGAGCCTGGGTGTGGGTGTGGCTTCCTGTCCATCATGGCTGCTGACCCCGCCCCCTTTCCGTCTCCACCCTCAGTGATGCGCCATGCCCATCGTGGAGAAGCTGAAAGAGGTGCTGAAGCCTGGCCGCAAGGACTCCGCCGACGAGGGAGACCTCAACCGGCTGCTGGCCTCCTCGGCCAAGAAGGTGCTGCTGCAGAAGATCGAGTTTGAGCCGGCCAGCCGCAGCTTCTCCTACCAGTTGGAGGCCCTCAAGAGCAAATATGTCATCCTCAACCCTAAGGCTGAGGGCGTAGCTGGACAGAAGGCCCCAGAGAACATCCAAATTAAGCGCCAGGGTACGTTTGGTACCTGGCAGGGTGTGTGTGTGTGTGTGTGTGTGTGTGTGTGTGTGTTTTGTATTGCAGTAGAAAATAATCAGTAGATGAGATGGGTGAGCATTTATAACATTTATGCATGTATATACATATTTGATTTAGACTTTTTTCCATGAAGATCTGTTTGTATAGATTTATAAAGTAAAATGTGTGTCTTTGTTCCCATTGGTCAGTGTGCTTAGCCTGTCACCATGGGGATAAAGTTAGACTGGTGTCTCTCTAACCCCTCCAGCTCCAGAGGGCACAGTAACCGGGCAGGGTGACGGGATCCCGGCCCCCCAGAAACTGCTGTTCCCCGGGAACAGACTCTCCTTGCAGTGGGAGCGCACCTACAGGGTGGGGGCCGGCCTCCATAACCTGGGCAACACCTGCTTCCTCAACTCCACGGTGCAGTGCCTGACCTACACCCCACCCCTCGCCAACCACCTGCTCTCCAAGGAGCACAGCCGTGCCTGTGAGTCGGCCGAGCCCCGCCCCCACTCTTCCTATTGGCTGTGTCTATAATCTATGCGCAGACTAGCCAATGAAGTGACCACGTTTGTTGTTTTCCCTAACAGCCTGGCAAAGTTTACTTGTCAGTTGATTATAAAGCGCTTGATAACCTGGCTGAAGCGGCAGGAGGCAGGCTGAGGGCTGTTTTAGACCCTCTTCGGGGGGGGGCGTGTCAACTGGACGCTGAGTCTCATGGCACTGTTTCTCTTCCTCAGGTCACCAGTCTGGCTTCTGCATGATTTGCATCATGCAGAACCACATCATCCAAGCCTTCGCCAACACCGGCAATGCCATCAAGCCGGTCTCCTTCATCCGGGACCTAAAAAGTGAGCATGTGTTGCTTGCTGCCCTACCTGCTCCTCTCCCTTCTCTCTCACTGTTTCCCGCTCCTGCGTGACTCCCCGGGGGGTACCGTGGTGGTGATCCTGTTTCTATCGATCCTCTTTCTGCCCACCCTCCCCCTCTAATGGGCTCTTAATTGCCCCCCCCCCAGTGGTCCATTTAGCCTTCGTGGGCTGGGTAACAATCAGCATCCTCTCTTCTCCAGAAATCGCCCGTCACTTTCGTTTTGGCAGCCAGGAAGACGCCCACGAGTTCCTGCGCTACACCATCGACGCCATGCAGAAGGCCTGTCTCAACGGCTACCCCAAGTAAGGGCGCTTCGGGGCTGCTTTCTCCATATGCCGCACGGGGCCATTTAGAAACCCTCATAGACGGCAGCGAGACATTTAAACACTCGATTATTCCAGGTCTAACGACTTTCATGGTTATGTACTTCTGCCTGGAATGTGAGTGTCTGTCTTCTCGGGGAAGCAGGTTCAAACCTCCACCCCGTCTCTCGGCATTCAAATGCGTCCTCTGTCATTATTTAAGTGGCTCCCCGACTGGTGAGCCTTGGTGTCTTTGGACGTGTAAGTATATTAGCATTGAAGATTAGATAAGGAGACTGAAACTCGGTACGTTTACATGCACACTATGAAAATCGAATTATTGTGTAAGTCCGACCAAAATCGGACTTTTAAAGTACATGTAAAGATGTTAATCTGACTGAAATCATACTAAATCGAATTTCTCAAAGTCGGCCTAAAACACCCAGATAATGCGATTGGGAGTCGATTTGTCGATTTTACTCCTGCATGTATGCGTTCAATCGGACTCAAACTGGCCTAGGCGCTCTGCGGATGCTTCACGACCCGGAAGTGACAGAAGAAGCATGGAGCATAGCAGAGAACGTACAGCACGTACGAAATGTGCAGCGTTTGTAAAGTTGCCCAGTTCACCGCTCGACTAAAGGGCGCTTTTCCACTGCACCAGGTGCTGTACTTCAAAAAGGTGCCACAAGTACAATACTTCAAGGGGTTGGTTTTACACTGGTGTAAAAACTGGTACTGGTACCCGTACTGAATTGAAAGATGGCTGTAGTAGGACTGGACTCCGTGCAATATTAATGCCAACATCGCATGTTATGCACGTCCTGTTCTTACATCGCTAGTCAGCTAGAATAAGATCAGGCTTTTTCTTACCTTCAATCTGGTGTGGATATTATAGCGGTTTAAGTCTTGCAAAAATATTTTTGCTCTGTCATAGAACAAACAACTTAGCAATTTTAATGATTATTCCTTTTGAAGATTATCTAGTACATGTTTAAAAATCAGTTTAAAGTTTACCTGCGCTGCTTTTGCATGAGCACTGCATGCGTTCTCCGAAACAATCATAATCATTTTCATTCTTAGCATTTAAATCACTCCTAGACGGGTTCATGTTTATATTGGATTCCTTTTTGTTTCTTAAATACCCCAATATTTATTACAACAAATCACATATTTGAAAAATTTCCAATACCATGCTGTCATGGTATACTATACAAAATACTTTATTTCTTGTTATGCTACCCTGATCCCGTTGTATCTGTCCTTCCAACCAGATCGCAATTAAAGTTTGTGTCACTTCATTTGCACATGCATCCATTATTACTTTTTATAAATTTTTTTATGTCTGTGACGTAAGAGGTCAACCGGAAAAAGCCCAATACTAAAAAGCTGGAAAGAGCCATATAGCCACCTATTGTAGCAGAGTGGGACATACTCCTGTCGATAAATCGATTCCCCTCCCGTGCATGTAAACTGGTATATCTGTAGCTCAACTTGTGCATGCTAACGGTACTGGCTATGATGATAGATAGTTGATTAAAGCTGAATTCAACCAATGTTTTCTTTGACCTTAATTTGTGTGTGTTGGGATGAAGTGATTGGGTGGTGCTTCTCGTCATAGGGTGGACAGGCAGACTCAAGCCACCACCCTGGTCCATCAGATCTTCGGAGGTTACCTCAGGTCACGAGGTATGTCAGCCCTGTGGGGTGGGGTGGGGTGGGGGGTGAACCGCCAGTTTAGCCATGCTATACAGGGGGCAAGTGTGTGGCTCGGCAGGTTAGGACACTGTGATCAGAAGGTCGGCGGTTCTAACCTGAGTCAGCAAATTACTTTTAATATTGAATCTTTGAGCAAGACCCTTAACCCTGAATTGCTCCAGGGACTGCCTGACCCTGCGGCATCGGTCATGCCTTGTTTTAAATAAAAGCCTGTGCTGAATAAATTGCAAGTTGAAGGGTTATAATTTGGGACCCCATCAGGAGAGGGACTGTATGCTTTTCTTATGGAGCCACTAGCATAACGTGGCTCAAACTGTGATCTGTTTTTGGCATCCAGTTGTTTATGCTGCAAAGAGTAGTTGTGGTCATGTTATACTATCTTTTAAAAATATTTTGTGTGTGTGCGTTTCAGTGAAGTGCTCCATCTGTAAGAGTGTGTCAGATACCTATGACCCTTACCTGGACATTGCGGTGGAGATCAGGGTGAGTACGGCTGACACATGGCAAATGGAGTGTAGGGTGTCCTCACACTGGGGGATCCGTCTACCCCGAAGTGTAGTCTGTTTGACTAGTGTGATCGCTGGCCGTACCCAAGCACGGAACACAGACATGACATCAATGATGTGACCGGAACTCGCGTGCGCACACGTATACTGTATACAGACACTTGTGCTGTGCGATAGAGCTTTTCTTCTTATGTTTTCTTCGACATGAAAAAGTTGCACGGTGATAACAAAAGCATGTTCGGGCTTAGAATGTTAAGCACAATATGAGTGCAGACCAGTGTGGGAATGGGGAGGGGGGACAGTTGTGCTTGGGCATGGTACAAGGCAACCGGGCCAAACATAAATAAGCCCTAAGTTACTCCGTGTTCACTGGGACCGGGGTTTTTAATCATGATGCTAACTCCTGAACCGAAGGCATGGCCGCCGGCTCTGTCCTCCACGCTCACCCGGGCTCGGGGCACTGCGTGGGATTTTTTAACTAATTCTTCAAGGTCGTGCGGAAGTTTCTCAGAGATCTGCGTGAGAAGGTGGATCGGTTTTCTTTAATTGGCCGTGGGATTGAGTGTCATCGTTTCCCCTACAGCAAGCGGCAAACATCGTCCGTGCTTTGGAGCTGTTCGTTAAGCCGGACGTGTTGAGTGGCGAGAATGCCTATATGTGTGCCAGGTGAGTCCGCGCATCAGGGGCGTTAATATTTAACTGATCTCAGCAGATACGGGCTTAGGCTAAGCGTGTACGTGCGAGTATACTTATCCTAAGGCTGTTGTGTGGAATTATGGGTAAATGTGCAGGCCAAGCTGATATGTTGGGCGTTTTTATTAGAAGATAAGAGTTACGGAGCCACCACAGTAAAGTCCAACACGGTGAGACATATTCACGATGATTTGTGTTTTTGTCTGTGCTCAGAGTATTGGCCCTATTGATACGATCTAGTTTGTCAAAAATCGGAGTAACGTTCTAAAATATGACCGTTGAAGAGCACTGTCAACAATGTCTGGCTTTGTCAGGCGTTAAAAAAACGGTGATTCTGAATTCCCATCATGCCCCACTGGCTGTGATCATGCTCACCATGACGTTAACTGTAGCGCCTTAATAGATACATGCTCGTGGATGTGCTTTCCTGGACACCAGTCTGGGATTTGCGTTTGGTGGCCTTGTCGGTACTGACAGGACATCTTGTCACGGTTACTGTTTAGGTGCAAAAAGAAAGTTCCGGCAACCAAGCGCTTCACAGTGCACCGGACGTCGAACGTGCTTACGCTGTCGCTGAAGAGGTTCGCCAACTTCAGCGGAGGCAAGATCACCAAGGTGATCCTTCAGCGTGGGAATGTGGGCTTTATGGTGCCCGATTTGGGACCCTCTTGGGTCTGAGTTAATGAGGAACGCCATCATTATATGACTTAACCATGAACCCAGTCAGTCACACATTTTTCCATCCTTCGTTTTTTCAGGATGTGGGCTACCCAGAATTCTTGAACATTCGGCCTTACATGTCGCAGAACACAGGGGACCCAATCATGTATGGCCTATATGCAGTCCTGGTGCATTCTGGGTACAGCTGTCACGCTGGCCATTACTACTGCTACGTTAAGGTGAGAGCCGTAGCACCCCCGGAGCACCCTGAATACTGTCAGGCCTGAGGCCTGAGGCCTGATTCTGAAATCTGACACTGGGTGTTTGCAGGCAAGCAACGGTCAGTGGTACCAGATGAATGACTCTATGGTACATTCCAGCAACATCAAGGTGGTTCTCAATCAGCAGGCATATGTGCTGTTCTATCTGAGGTAAGATGACGTCTGGCTCCCTAATGGATGCGGTGTGTGTCAGGCCAGCTGTTTTTCATTACTGCTTTTCTTTTTGTGTGGAACCTAGAATCCCGGAAACGAAGAAGAATGCGGAGACGCCCGTGGTGAAATCGGGAGCAGTGCATTCTGGGAAAAGTGGCCCGACTGCGGAGCAGCTGAAGAAGGTGGCGCTGACTGGGCCGAGGTCATCCCCCCAGGTGACGAAGGTGTGTGGGTGAGGGAGGGGGTGTGGTCCAGAGTGGTCCGGGGGCCTGTTGGGCTGGGTGTTAGCCTGGAGGTCACCATGAAGGGGCTAAACGATGTACTAACCCACCCCTTTTTGTGCAGAAGCTGGAGTCCTCCCAGCTGCGAAAGATCCATTCACTGGATGGGGGGCTGGGAGTCCCCGTGCCCCGGGTCACCCCCAAACCGGCCAACGGCTCGGCCTTGACCTCGCCCACAGGGCCGACGCTCATCCCTGAGCCGCCAAAGAAGGTGAAAAAGGCTCCGCCCCCGACCCAAGGCGTGTCCTCGCCCATCACCACCAATGGCGTGGGCCGATCGGATGTCGACAGGAGGCGCTCGCAGGAGAGCGTGGGAATTGCAGCATCTACCTCAATGAAGTCCCTCTCCGAGTCGTCCGGGGACTCGTCCGAGTCGAAGGTAAAACCATAAGGCAGCATTTTCATAAACCTAAGACATGAAAATAAGTTTTTAAAAAATAACTTTAAGTACATGTGCTAGAAATATTCAACATTTCTTTTTATTTCCCTTAGTCTTGGAAGCAATATTTATTACTGTTTCTGTGCTGTTTAGCTAAAGTAATGGTTTATCATTAATATATATATACACACACACACACACACACACAGTACAAATGTACTGTATATTCATGCAGGATTCTCAGAAGACACAAAAACGTAAAACTAAATTTAAAACATCAAAATTATAATAGTGCTATATGTTCACAGGCCTTTTGATGTGTAAATCTCGCCTGCTTTGTTCAGTGAGGACAGGAGAGCCAGCTCTTTGATTTGTGAGGGTCAAACAGCCAGTCCCTCTTCTCAAATGTCATTTATAAGCCTGACGTGTTGCTTGTCTTAATGGGCCAGTTCACCCCAAAACTAAAATACAATCTGTTAAAGTGGCTTTAGTGCTATCTGTCAGTCGACTGTAGGGTGTTCTGCTGGGAGTTGCCTGGTCTTGGAGACATCGATTGTAGCTAAAGCGGCTGGAAAGGGGAGAAAAAAAAAAAAAACTTGGAAAAATTCAACAGCGACGTCTCATGAGAAATCGCGACCCGGTTACTCACCGTAATCCACAGACTTTGTGATGAGCAGAAACGTTTCAGTTTTGGGGTGAACTGCCCCTATAAGCTTTGCGGGGGGGTGATTAACCGGACGTGTCTGCTGCTCCTCCAGCACGCCGGTGGTCCTCGGAGCGCTCCGGCTGGGGAGACGGGGTCGGCCACTGCCAGAAGCCTGAACGGGACGTGCTCTCCGCGCCGGGGCTCGGAGCCCCCCAAGCCGGTGGATCGCGGGTCGGGACCCGGCGCCGAGGACAAAACAGCCAAATTAAAGCCCCCGGCCATCACCAACATCGCGTCGGAGGCTGCCAATCCCACCTCCCCACCCCCTGCGAAGAAACTCGCCCTGTCTGCCAAGAAGGTGAGGGGCAGGGGGGCTGCTTTCGGGGGAACGCTAACAGCGTCCAGCACGAGCCGTGATTAAACACTGAGTTACTAAGTATCCCCTTCTTTGCTTTTTTTTTTGTCTCTGTAAGTCTCTTTCTGTTCTCTTCTAACCATCTCTAATCCCCCGTCTGCTGCATTCTCTCTTCGTTTTTTTTTTTTCTCTCGTTCATTTTCCTTTCATTTTGTTTTTCCACATTTTTTTTCCCCTTTGTGTACACGGATGGCGTTTTTTTTTTTTTTTTTTTTTTTTCTTTTCTTTTCTTTTAGACCACCAAGTTTTTTTTTCTGTCAATAACTGCAGGCCAGGCCCAATGGGAGTCCCAGCAGCAGTGATGTGCCGCCCTCCCAGCCACGCCCCTTGTCCAGTGACCTCACGCTTTCAGATCATCCACCCCTGTTGGTCTCTACCCCGCCAAATCACAAACCTCGGTATGACTCAGCCTGTAGGGGGTTGTATCTAGGGGCTTGAGTGATGAATATCAGGCACCGGGGGTGTGGGTAGATGTCACAGTTGACCCTGGTGTATTTGCTCCTGATATCTTGGCACTTCTGTGATCCTCGTCGTCTCTGGTCCCCCCTCCCAGGATAGTTCCATTTCATTCGCTCAAGTCATCATCTTTGCCTGGACCCGCCTCCCACTCAGCCCCGAGCAGAAGCTCTCACCCTGTCCCCACGGAAACGAGCCCCCTGCCCGGACAATCCTCCCTGGGGACTGGAATGGGAGATGCCCCTTTCAGCCCTGCACTGAAGAGGAAGAGGAGGAAGAAGAAAAAACGGCATCACTCCGAGATGGGCGATGGGCAGCAACCACCACCGGGACAACCCGAGGCCCAGGAAGAGGAGACGTCAGTCTGTGAGGAGAGGAGGAAGAAGAAAAAGAAGAAAAGGAAGAGGGAGGAGGAGGAAGAGGAGGAGGGACCTGCTGCCTGTCCGGCCCAAGACCTCGTATCGCACCTGGAGCCGCTGGTGGGCGAGCCCTGGAGCGTCACAGCTGACCCGTGGGAGCAGACCGGAGATGCAGTAAGGCTGAAGAAGAAGAAGAGGAAGAGGAAACGTGACAAGGGATTGGAGGAAGCCATGAGTCCGTGCTCGGCCGCAGAGAGGTGCGTCTCCCATATTCACAGTCTCAGGTTGAGACTGGACCTCTTCCATGGGGTGCCCTATTCTGTGCCAAGATATAATGTCAGGATGTGATATTTTATTGTGTCCAATAGGGGGCGGTGTGTGCTTCTGCAGTTTCATGCTCTGTACTCGTGATTGGAAGGTTCAAATCCTGCAGAGTGATTTTACCTCTGGGTCCTTGAGCAAAGCCCTGAACACCAGTTGCTCCAGGGTGTCTCAGTTGTATATTGCTTTGGATGAATCTAGGAAATAAATAAATTAAATGGACCCAGCTGGTTTTCTAAGGGGACTCATGAAACTCCAGAGTCTGAGGATAAAACCAGCATGAGTTTCAGCACAGGGAGGGTGTTTCCTGAGGTGCCCCGTGCAGAATGCTGTTCTCAGATCAGTCTGCTGAAATGCTCCGGCTTCACCCCAGGCCAGCGGCGGAGGAAGCAGCGACCGAGACGAGCACAGTGGACGTGGCTGAACTGCTTCGGCAGAAACTGGAAAGGAGGAAGAAGAAGAAGAAGATGCTGAAGGAGAAGAGAGTGTGTCCCAGAGACCCGGAACCTTCCCCTCAGGAGCCTTCTGAAGAGGTGAAGACTGCTGGCTGCAGTCAAGGTACTGGCATTCTCAGTGTTAAGGTCCATGGTGTTAAGGTTCTGCTGCTATTTAAATACAGAAAGCCATGTACAGGGTCCTGAGCGGCTGGGCATTAGCGGCAATGTTCAGTCAGCAGACCAGCCTATCGGAATGCTCGATTGACTGTCCTCCTCGCCCTTGCAGCAGCGACCGTGATCGTCTGGGACAGCCAAGCCCGGGACGGGTACAAGCACACGCAGGAATCGCAGGGCCCCAAAACCGCACAGTCTGTCTGGGACGGTGCCAGGACCAGCACGGTGGTGGAAGAGCTGCTCCGGAACTCCGAGGACAGAGCGTACGGGAGCCAAGGTGACGGCCTGTGACGGAACTCCTGTCTGGTCTGATGCAGATCTGGCCAATTGTTTCTGTTGATGTTCAAAGGACCTGGCTAGAATTAATGTAAATAGCTCTGATAGAAGTTGATTGGCCAAAAATACAGATTTTTGGGGCAGGGATTATCGCTTTTGCCTGCGCTTCTGCTCAGTGTAGGACATGTTCACTGCAGTTCTCACCTGGGACGGAGAGCTTTCAGCGATCAGCCGGGAAGCCATGGAGGACGCACGAAACGCCAAGCAGGACACCATGATCGACGAGTGGGACGAGGAGTTCGACAGAGGCAAGGTGAGTGGGCTGGGCAGGGAGTGGGTGGGTGGTTCTGTGTATACATGGCCGTCCTGCCATTGGCTACATGAACGTAGCCGCCATCTCATTGGCTGCATGGCTGTGTGTTCGTGGACTGAGGATGTTGCCGTCAGATCTGATTGCCTCTAATGCAGCATTTCGGGCCGCGAGCCATGGCTGTAATGGATTGATCCGGCCCGTAAAGACCCCGCTTCTACCCTCTAATTGCCGTCCAAATGCGATTCAGGCCTAGATCACAGCTAATGGCGTCCTGTGTGGAATTAAAAGGCCCGGAGCTGGGGGGGTGGGTGGGGGAGAGGTACCTCATTGTCTCTGGGGAATGATGAGATGCTGGATGGTGTGTGTGTGTGTGTGCGTGTGTGCGTGCGTGCGTGCAGGTGAAGAAAATGAAAAAGTACAAGAAAGAGAGGAGAAGGAGTGGCAACATCTTCCAGAAGGTCCAAGACCGGAGGAACATGTGGTCCGTCACCGGAGGGAAGAGGAGCGGATTCGGATACCGCCACTGAGCCAGGTAAGCAGGGGTTCGAACCTATGTCCCGCAGACTCAGGAGTCAGACATGTGCCATGTTCTCCATTCCGATTCCAGACTCTCTTCCCCCCCGCCCCCAGAAGTGTCCCAGACTCCCCCTTCCTGCCGGAACATGGTCGAGCCTCTCCTGAAGATTCCAGCTAGCCGCCGGGATGTCCAGGCTGACGGGACGGCTGTATCGTGAGCCGGTTCTGTTTATCCAAGGAGCAGTGATGGTTAACGGGGTCACTGGTGGGCACCTCACCCACCCCGAAATACATTGAACAGCAGCAAACGGGTTTACATCATACAGGGTTCCGTGCATTACCGGCATGGTGTCGGTGACGTTCCCTCCTACGGTGGACCGGACCCATCGGTCGCTGTGGCATTGTCTTATTGCTACGATCATGCCTGCTGTTTCTCTCTTCAGCCGTGAGCTGCAGCGACGGAGCCCTGCGTCGATTCCGATAGAAGCTGAAATTAAATAAGGAAATGACAACACTGAAGGCTGGACGCGTGTTTGAGGGTCTGGCCGATGTCATTGGGTGGCAGGTTCCCTACGGGACAGCATGTGGCATGAAGCGGTGGGCAAACGGGAATCAACTTTAATGCCCAACTCCCCTCACTTAGTCCCCTACTTTGTGTTTAGTTTCTCTCCTTTATTGAAAGTCACAGAACACAAATTTGACACCCTAGACGTAGATGGACTTTGTGGTGTGACAAAGACCACAATTATGTCTTTCCCTCCATCTCAGTTCAGCTGCTGTTGTGATGGTTCCCTTACTGACACTCATATGAAGACAGCTACAGTGAGCCACACCATATCAATGTGAGATATAGGGTTATTTTATATTTTCATATCAGTTCACTGGAATGCATTCTGTAGATGTGCATATATGCATATATAATATAATATATAGACACACTAAATGGATTTGTATTGATAAACAGACGATTGTAACGATTTAAACGACATTCACTTCTTCATGTAGTGTGTTTCTTTTCTTTTCCTCTTGTGATGTACGTGTTTGATGCATTTAAGCATATCTGATTGAAAGCAGGGGCGGATCGCGGCGCGTAAACAGGAAGCTGACCACGAAAGCAGCCGCCTGTCGGCCCGGAGAGGTTACCTCGGGTCGCTGGGGCTTTTTGATCTTTGCATCCGTTGAACATGTGCGGATCGCTCGAGCGAGGAAGAGTCTCGGTGTATACCTTATTCTGAGCCATAACGATGTCGATTTTTCATAAACTTACGTTTTTCACCCCTCCTCCCCTTTGCTGAAGCATTGTGAAACTGTCAGTTTGAACCAGGGATTACAGTTGTGGTTTGACTTCTTACCTTCTGATCGGTTTAGCTGAATGGTGTGTCTATATGTGACGGCGATTTGACGAGAGGGAAACACCAAAGTTTTTTTTTTTTGATGGTTTAATGTACCACATTTTGGAGCGGGGCTTTAGAATGGAGTTGGAATTTGTTCCCTTCATCTACAGTTGCAGGCGTTTGTTTCCTCTGCAATCTACCTCCCATATTTGTACACGTTTTCCGGCACAGCTCCTGCCTTCGGGAGAGCAGGTGTAAACTCCGCTTTCCATTCGCTGTTGGGTCCAGCGCACAGAACGGATCGGGATTATCCACGTCATCAGGGAAAATGATGCATGGGGGGGAAGATTCCCAGTGATTCTATTGTCATTTTAAAGTAACATTCATATTCTATGTATATTTCCTGTATATATTTGAGTTACAAACGTGGCAAATTAATATTTACGCGCTATGGATTAGTTGCATACACACTTTCTACAGTTATCCCCCAACCGTTAGTTCAGTAGCCCTTTCCGTCTGATTGGTGCAGCTGGGAGGGCTGACTGTCCCTCCGCCGGCCTCCCCAAAGTAGGGAATTAGCGGAGGTTCTGGAGCGGCTCATTTGCGCGTACCGAGAATCTGGATCCTTCCGGTTTACTGTGTTGGGAAGCTCATGCGTCGCGTAGACCTAGCAAGCCTTGGGTTTTCAAAACTGTGTTCCGGTTCCTAATCTATGCAATTTTTGACTGCACGATTAAACTGATAACTTGAGATTGTATGATGGTCGTACACACACACACACACACACTTCCCCCAAAGCCTACACCGACTGCTGTATTACGATCTCCCACATTCTGACCATTCATGCTCTCCTACTTCACAAACATCTCCGGGATCTTCCATGGAACTGGGCAAAAACTTATTACCTGTGAAGTAATGGAATAAATGCTTTGCTAGTGTATATCTCATACATGCACATTGTGCTTGTGATACCAGTACAACAAAATGCAGTTCGGATATTACAATCATTTGAACCATTTAAACTTGAGGTAAGAAATTTAAATGGGTTGTTGGGCTGTAATTTTAGAATTTAACAAAAAAGTGTTCGGGGGGTAAACGCAATGTATTTGGTATTGACCTCCTATGCCTTTACTGTAGTGCAGTACAGTAAGCAACTTGTGGAAACACAAATCGTGTGTTCGGTAGATTGTATGAATGTTTTGTGTGTAATTATCGGGGAGTAGAATTGTTAAGTATTCATAAGTGACCCTTTTTTTAAAAGAAATTCTGATTCTAACCCATGTATGTAGTTTGCATTGTATTTTGCACAGTTTCGGATTTAAAAAAATACCTTTTATTAATGTAGGAACTATTGCAAAAGAAAATACAAACGTGCAATAAAATTCTGTGAACATGTTTGTTCGATGTTTCTCGCTTTTGGCTTAACTCATTTTAAATACATTCTCTTCCTATAGATCGATGTCATCAGTCCGTTAAAAACATAGTTGCCATTTGATCTTTTGTTACAATTTACAGTCATTGAGCCAGCTGAGAGATTTTGTGATCCAAGCGACAATTACAAATGCAAGCTATATAATAAAACTTTTATACAAGATGTGCTCCTTAAGAAAAGGGAAGATGTCCCGCACTATCTACTTATATACCTGAGCGATCTGCGCGTACATCTGCGATTGCGACACGTGACATCACCTCGGGAGGGGGAGGGGCTGCCATTTATGTCAAAGGCAAAGAGGGATGGAGACGCCGTGAGTTCGGAACGACTTGCTGCAATAAATCACCTGCAAGGAAACCCGGGGAGGGGATCGAGTGACAGCCGAGAAAGAGGAGGGGAAGAGTGAGGGAGCGATAAAGGCGGAGCGGGGGCGCACTTGGAGCGGAGGGTTCCTTAGTGCAGCGGCTGCAGCGTTTCAGGAGAGGCGCCCCGCATCACCATGAGCACTGCGAGCGACGATTACGGTAGGCACTGGCATTACTGCCACCTCTCTACACCGCAGCGGTTACAAGGGACAGGTATCTCCTGGATGCTATAGATAGGTGCGTTGGCATTATTTTTTTTTTAATTATTTTATTATAAATAAAATGCAGGTCTGCGTGTCGTAAGCTGAAGTACATGATGATCCCGGTTTTCTGTAGCTATGGCAATATCATGCAGCTTGATACTAAAGAAGTCCAGACACGTTTCTTTAATTAAAAAGAGAAAGTGTTGTGAACTGTAGGATTTCGGAGCAAAACATACAAAGTTTTGTGACCTTAAGCGATAAACCCCAGATCAATGGATGGTATTTTTATACGCAGAATTACTGAACACAAGAGTAAAATGTAGCGGCAGTGTACACCGAAAGTTGTCTGTGATCGGGCCATCTGGTGCATTTATCACCCTTTTTACTGATTAACTTCCTTGACAGGTTGAATCGCAACTCCTGTTAAATATGTAATATCAGTATGACGGGCGCAGCTCGCTGTAGAGCTACTTATGGCCTGTCATAATCAGAAATCACTTTCCAAGTCTTTTTTTTTAATTAAAAATATAGTCATAGAAAACCATGACGCGTTGCGACGACTTTTCTCTTTTTTAGTAGGTAGCCTACTAAATTGTTTTAATAAACAGTTTTCGATGTTAACCACTGTATTTAGCGACTGATTGACGCTCCTAATTAAAATTATCGCTGGATGCGCCCAGTACTTACAGGTTACAGCCGCGCGGCTGAATCATCAAGATGCAGAGTCACTAACGCCGC